GTGTGTGTGTGTGTGTGTGTGTGTGCGTGTGTGTGTGTGTGTGTGTGTGTGTTAGGGAGGAGTCCCACCAACCTCCAGCTTTCCTGTTGTTAGAAGCTTCGGAGAGGTGCTGCCCCCTACTGGGGTATAAACAGTACTGATGTCCACTAACAGTTTTTCTACATTTCATCTTCATTTGACAGAAATAAATAATGTTCATTCAGAGTCCATTTATTAGATTGCTTCCGGAGCTATCAGTCACATCTCGTGGCCTTCATTGGTGGATTTGCTCATGGAGATGGATTGAACGAATCCAGCTCAACATATGATGTTTTGTGTCATGACATTCATTTATGTTTCCCAACATCGTGGATGAAAACACGTGATCACTCATGAAAACTATTAGTGAGTTGTGTGTTTTGTTACCTGACTGACTTTATCAGCGCTTAAGGAAAAACTCTCAAGCCACTGAAATAACAGCAACATTTATCAGACCTTAAGATCGCAAAGTAGTTTACATCTTTGATTTCCACACAGCTGGACTTTCATTTAAACAAGTTATCATCTGTAATCATATTATATATTTGATTGACAGTGTATCTTTTTCTTAATTAATATGAAAGTCGTGGATGAATTTCAGACATTATCTTTTTTAAATTCTCATTTAATGTATTCTCTGTATATTTAGTCGTTATTGCTGTTTCAAAGTCCGAAGGTCTCCCCTTTCCGCTCTTTTGTTTCTTGGAATTAAAAGCCTGTTGTAAATCAGTAACAGATAAATGCTTTTATCTCCCAAATATCGTGGCTATTCACAATGCAATTTCCAATTTGTATCTCTGTGTGTCGTAAGATTGATGGAAACATTTGTTCTTTGACTTTTGAACAGAAATGTAAATGTGTAAGATGTCACTTTGTTGTTTTGGGAGCCCTTTGTTGCAGTTTCCAAACTCTCCTTGTGATAGCAGCAGACCCGCTGGAGTAATGACGTTAATCACATGTTGGACTGTGTTGAAAAACGAAAAGGCAATATCATGTCTCTCTTCTGCTTTTGGGGATGCAGCTGTGGCGCAATAACCCGCTCGGCCCTCACATCTCACGCATCCGTGTGCGGGCGCGTTTCATCGTGACTCAGCGCGATGAAACAAATGTATAAAATAATGCAGTCATGTACTCAGCTGTCACACGCGGACATTCAAGTTTATCAGGCGTTCAGAAAAATAAATCTCAACCGAAATATATCCATATAATGTAATTATGTAATTATATCAGCCTCCCTTTAATAGGTAACGATTCGACAGATTTAGGCACGTTGTGTCCCATGTTTGTCCCTTTTATTTATCATATTTCTCCAGTCAGGCAAGGGTCAAAATATGGGACATTTTCTTAAAAATGTTGACTAAATGTATTTGGTATGAAATGTTTTTTTCGTGTATGCAATGAAACAATGTTGTTAGTCCAGCAAGTTTCACAATCAAATCCTGCATGAAGGTAAAGATAAGTTAAATAAAAGTGTGACTGCGCCAGTAACTTTTTTATAAGAGACATTATACAAACATTATCACATTTTATCAAAATAAGCAAACAATAAATCATTGGCATTGACGATAACTTTAGATTACTGAATAAATAAGCGTTCCTTCGAATCAAAAGCCTTGATCATTTTTTATCAGGGCAAAGGGAGAGGGGACGTGCGCAAACAGTGTGTCCGCGCGCATCTCGTCGCTCATGAGTTTCCTGAGTCCAGCAGACTAATAAGGGATGAGATGCGTCCTGTTAAGAAATATCACATGTGTTTGCACACAGCGGCCACCAGATTGAATTATTAAACATCAGGACAAGCAGGGGGAAGTACTGAGAGAGCTGGACGAGCAGAGAGAGGGACAAGCTCTCTTTGTCGTTGAACACATTAATAGTATTCGATTTTTTTTTATGTGAATAGGCAATTTTATTATAATATATTGAGAACCAATTTTGCCTGCTGAACATTGGAAATGGAAGCCCTGCGATACGTTTTTCTCCTGGTTTGTGCCTGCTTTATTTATCAAGCTGAAGGACGCAAAAGTAAGTAGTGCTTCTTTAAAGTTATCCAGCTGAACTGAAGTTATGATATCGTATTTTGAACAATAAGTCGGACGAGATCTGATATATAAATATTCACTGCATTATACATTTACTACATGTCCTATCATATAACATTCAGACTGAAATCACAGATATGATTTAATCTTATGGGCCTTGTCTTAAAAGTCTGATGTCGTAGTAGTTATTAGGTGTGAAACAGGCTTTTGATTTTCGATGTTTGTCTCACAGTTTCTGTTTTTATACCTGTTCGGTCACCCGCTCCCTGCACTCAGAGTCCCATGAGCTTAATTAAGGCGTGACACTAGCTCACGGTCTCCGGTCAGAAAACTATAATCTACACAAGAGAAAATCCATACAAATATCTCTATAAAATCATACTTATCTTAAAGGCCTATCAATACTGTCCAGCTGGTGTCACGATTCCAACGGGAAAAATTAAGAATCAACCAGTTCAGCAACACATTTCTATTACACATTATCAACGTGAAAATAACAGAGTTGTTTTCATTATTACAATTAAATATGTAGTTTAAATTGTCCATGTTTTGCATATATGTCTGATGTTCCGACAAATATCTGGATTGTTTTCCTTTAATCAAATCACATAGATGGAATTTGTTGTTTCCAACTGCCATCCGGTAAAATATGTCATCCACTCTCAAATCTAAACTAAGACAGAAGCCATGAAACAAAGGTACGGATTCAGAGAACAATATAACTGATAAATAAAAGACATTTGGTAGAATCAGTTATATTTTCCTCAAGAGAAGACCAGGTATTATTATCTGGTGTCAAAATCGTGATCATCTCCCTTTCTTATAGAACAGCTGGTGTTAAAAGGTTGTTCCAATTTTCCACACTTTTTCTGTTTTAAGTGTTTGGCATCTCAAGTGTTGAATTTCTAACTAAAATATTTCATTTAAAACTAACATCTAGAGAAAACCTGATCTCATGATATAGTTTCAAAAGGATCCACACATAATACTCTTTCCATTCAAGGACTCCAAAATCAGATGATTTCATTTCAAATGGGTTTTAATAGATTAGGTATTCATTATTTTCTACACCGCATGTCAGGTGACACAGATGGAATAAAAGAAAAGAGTCCTTCATTCAAAGCCGAGACATATACAATGCTTGCAGAAAACTGTTTTGAGCTGCTTTTCAAGTTTGCAAGATACACTTAATTAGAAATTATAATTTATTATAATAATGAAGACTTTTTCTGGAACTTTCTTTAGAAGAAAGATAAAGAAAAACTCCAGACTATGATTTTAAAGTTTCTCTAAGGGATAGACAATCCAGCAAGTTTTCCCTCAGTGATCCTCACAGCATATTTTAAGGGACCTGGGATTCTTAAAATGTGCTTTGCTCTCTCTCTCTCTCCAGCATACAGGGACATGTTCCCCCACAAGCATATGAATGCAGGGAAGTCACCATTTCCGATTCCACCAATCCCTGGCTGGGATCCAGACACCAACCCATGGGATGACTACCTCTACCCTCCACTAAACCCAAAGCCAAAAGAACTCATGCACCACAAAGGTGAGTAACGTCACCTTTGTCCTCTGGATTCATCCTGTTATGTTTTGAATTTTTCACATGAAATGCCAATTTTTCTGCAGGTAAACCAAAGGTTCATCTGACCAGCGATGGCCCAGCTCTCAATGGCTCTTGCATCTCCTTCACCGCGAAGCTGGACTACCCTCCATGCCAGAAAGAAAATGCCAACGGGGACATTGTTTGGGATGAGCACTGTGAGGACGGTACGGACCTCGAGGCCTCAGGTGCTGCCAAAAAGCAAGGCCAGGCCACGCCCTCCAACACATTACATCATGGTCCACTACAAAACACCACTACATCATATATGAGACAGCAATAATAAAAAAAATTGGGTCAACAAACTGTAAACAGAACAGACATATAATCAATTTATAAAGTTGATATGGTGAAGATGCGTATGCTTTTACACATCCAGCAGACAAAGAGCAACATTAGCATTCATTTGGAGTTGTGCTTCTGTCCACCTGGTGAATGCAAGTTCAATATTCACTCTCCTTTTACCTCGGTTTTTGGTCACCACCAACTCCTGAGTGAAAAACCCTGCTCTTCAGTAGTTAAATGCTCTACTATGTTCACCAGCTAGCCATTGAATTGAGTCTATCTACTCTATCTGTTTGGTCGAGTGGATTTATTTTTATTTTTTTGAAAACAACTGCCTGCTCCTGCTAGAAACAAGGATGGTGAAACCGAACCAAAACAATTAAGTTGCAGGCTGTAAAACCAAAACAATGAAGGCTGAAAGAGGCTAAAATGGTCCATAAAGCTGAGAGGAGCTGCAAAACTGGGAGATGATTATCTATGGGATTTGTCACTGCACGCAACCCGTTTTACATAACAAGTAGTCATTTGACCTATTGTTGATATAAAAATATAAATGCAGAGACATTTTTTTTAGTTTTTAAATAACACAACCTCCCTCTCTTCTCTTCTGAGCAGCCAATGGACAAGTGCGTTCTGGCTACGTGTACAACTGGACTTCCTGGTTGGACGACTATGGCTTTGGAAAGTGTACAGACGTGAAAAAATGCAATGTGTTCCCCGATGGGAAGCCCTTCCCTCAGAGCAACGACTGGAGCCGCAAGAGCTACGTTTACGTGTGGCACGCAATGGGTGAGACACGCAGGTTTTAAGATTCGCACACCTGCACGCGCAAAAAACAAAATGAGTAACTGTTTAACCCTCAATCCGTCTTCTCTGTTTGTCCCAGGCCAGTACTTCGAGACATGCGACGGTTCCTCCTCCAGTTTGACCATCAACACCACCAACATCCCTCTGGGTGCAGAGGTCATGGAGATCATGGTCTACAGGAAGCGTGAGCGCAGGACGTACAGCCCCCTGACCACTGACAACATCGTCTTCTACGTCACAGGTGGAGACAAACTCAAACATGCGGCTCATGCAACTTTCAACATGTTTCAGCCAAACAGACAGATACAAACACAAGGAGAAACCTTGAGAATTCATTATTTATTACTCCCCCTACACACTCTCTCTTAGATAAGATCCCACTTGCAGTTGACATCTCCCAGAAGGCTGCGGTTAACCAGTCTGAGAATGTTTTCTTTCGTGGCGAGGACGTGGTCTTCAAAGTCCAGCTCCATGACCCCAGCGGCTACCTCAAAACCGCAGCCGCCATTGACTACATCTGGGACTTCAGCGATGGCAACCAGCTGGTGACACACTGCGACGTGACCACACACGCCTACAGCGTGCTGGGGAGCATGAGTGTGAAGCTGGTAGTAGAGGCAGCGTTCCCTGTAGAGTGTCCGCCCACCTCTGCCACCCCAACTCACAGGAGCTCCACGTCATCACCTCCCACAGGTACTGGGCACAGACACTTAGATATGACCCAAGGTGAACATAAACAATTTTAAGCAATTAAGTTAGTCTGGAGGTGCTTCATTCATTCACATATTCATGTAGTCACACTGGAACGAACATACCGTGCAAGCAATAATGGACAGTAATATAAAACAGATTTATGTCTTGATTATGGTCTACTAGGTAAAGATGATCAGTTTACATAAATTACTAAAACCCTGTTTTCTCACATACTGCTACATAGCAATTCAGATAGTTTTGTTTTTTGAGATCTTTAACGATTATTCAGGGGTTGTTTCTTGCAGCATTGCTTTTGATAACACAAGCTACTGTTGCATTTTTTTAATGTAATTTTCAATGCCTTTGGAGGTGCAATATACGATTGTCAGAGCATTAATATAGCAGACAACAACTATTTGCTATGTAAAGATGAAGTGGAGTAATGTCAACCTGAGCAAAGAGTGAATGAACCAAAACTATCAGCATGGTCCATACCACAAGAGGTAAGTAAGACAAGGCAAAGCAAGAAGCAACTCTCCCTGCAGAGCCCGTTGAAGTGTTACCTCACAAACCCAGATGTGTCATAAATGTTTTCCTGTCTTTTGCTCCAGAGGCTCCCTCTCCTCCACCTCCTGGTACTCATGCTGGGACTGTCAAGATGGAGACAACCCAGGGTGAGCTCCATAGCTAATATTTGTTTGTGTGTGTATAAGAGAGAAAGAGAGCGACTGGGGAAGTGTGTGTGTCCGAGCAGGAGCCCATTCAATATTAATGAAGACCAAATAACCAGTGAGTCTATATCTTGTCCCTTTTTTCCTGTTTCAGTGCCACCCAGCACCAGCCAGCCCCTTCCCTCCTCCTCCTCTCCTACTGCCATGACAACAGGCCTGCCCACCACGGAGACCCTCTCCCCTACTGTTGCCAATGCGACCCCGGAGTCGAACCCCACAACCCTGGCCTGGCTCCGCACCAGGAACCTCAACAGCAACGGATGCTACCGATACGTCTATGGGGCCTTCACGGGCAACATCACCATTATCGGTCGGTGTTAGACTGCACTTTCAAAGCAGTGCGAGTGGCTGTGTGTCACAGCGTCTTTTATGAAAGTAACACCAGATGACGCCAAAGTCAGACAATTTCAAATTGAACACATAGTGGCTTTAAAATATAATTGGAAAAAAATGGTGGATTATTATGGTATTATGATCCTTTTGAAAGGAAATTATAGATCAGTTTACTGTTTACAGTTTAAGGATCTAGTGATTCCTCTAGTCCTTAGTTCAACATTTCTATTTGGCAATTGTTAGATTGGTTTATGACCAAATAACTGCAAAAATGATAAACAAAGATGATAAACATGGTTAAAATGATCAAACATGGTTAAGTTGATCCAGCCTCACTGAGCTGCTAGCATGGCTGTGGACTCTTAGTCTTGTTCTTTTCAGGATGACACAAAACCAATTCAGGGGGATACAATATTATTGTTTTCACAGAGTCAAATACCAAAAGTCAAATGCAACTCTCATTCCTTCTTTTCATTGTAATTTTAAACAAGTAGACACCATAGAGAGTAAACAAGTGACTGTGTTGTCCAGCCCCACTGAGCAGAACAGAGCTCCAGTCTCCCAGTCAGCACGGCAAATAGCCAGTCACTGGTAAAACTGGTCTTTTGTGTCCTGGGTTTAATTCTGTAGTGATTTATGCTCAAATCTAATAAAAATAAAAAATGTATATTCACATTTGAATGCGATGGAAGGATTGTAGTTTCATATCAAAAGTGTTACTCATTTATAAATGTATCTACTTGTGGAGTCGAACACACGAGCACACACACACACACACACACTCCACTAAAAGACACTGAGCTTCATCATTTAATGTTACAAGAAGATGATCACACATCAAAAACCTGTAAAAACCTGTATAAATCTGTTCTCTGCAGAGCCCAACCACGCACTGACCAGCCAGTCAAACAGTCGCATTGTGGATGTGTCGGCTGCCAGAGTGACCAACACTGACATAAGCTTCCTGGTGAAATGTCTGGGCAAGTGAGTATACATTTATTGCTTTATTGAATTAAAATTAATGTTTAAAAGTCTAAGTTCATATTAGTTTTTCTCTTGACTGCTATTGGGTGAAATCCAAAATTGTGTCCCTTTGTCTCTCAGTAATTGCAAATAAAATGTATTTTAAATATTTATAGCTCATGAAAATAAATCAATACAAGACAGAATTAAATGACTTGCAGTTACATTGGACTTCAGTGATATTCAGATCATTTGAATTATATTGTCGTGATACAAAATCACAGTTAACAATTCCCACAATCACGATAAGTAAACTAGGGAATTAGAGATTTACGTTACTTGTTCTATGCAACAGAGGTTATAGTCATTTTCTGCTATGGCATATTACAATTATTCTTAAAAGAAAAAGGTTTTAGAAAAAGAAAAGGATTGGTGGTTTTATTCAACCCTTCATCTTTCCATCCCCTCATCCTCAGCATCCCCACTTCAGCCTGCACCATCGTGTCAGACCCCACCTGTACTCAGGTGCACAGCATTATGTGCGATGACGTGCCGCCATCGTCAGAGTGTGAAGTGCATCTCAGGCGAACTTTTCCTGAGCCTGGCACCTACTGCGTCAACATCACCCTGGAGGACTCCGGGAGCCTGACCCTGACCAGCACCACCGTCACCATCGCCAAGTCCCAGGATACACCTGGTCGGTTACACAAAGACATTTATTTTGATATCCTGCGCAAGCTTTAACAAGCAGCTTTGTAGATGCTGGACGGATTGATGTTCTCTGTCTCACTGCTGTTCTCTGTCCCTGTAGTGTCCAAGACTTCACACACTGCAGAGGTGGTGCTCTCTTCGACCGCTGTGCTGGTGGCCGTCTTTGCATTCGTTGGCTATTTGGTCTGCAAGTAGGTAGTCCTGTACAACTGACTAGTCTTAGAAGTTTCTCCTTATACACACAAACACACACACACAATGTCTTAGTGCCATTTCTTGCCGTGTCATTTTTCCCAACAAACACTCTCTCTTCCATCCTCTCATCCCTTACTTCGCTCCTCCCTCTCTCCCAGGCGTTACAAGGTGTACCGTCCCATTCGTAGGTCACTGTTGGACGCCAGCGGCCATGCTGGGGTCAGAGGACGCATGGTCCGTTTGAGGGAGGCACTCTTCCCCTCCAGCGAGGAGAGCCATCACCTGCTGACTGAGAGACTCCCTGTGTAGGCTCTATAGCTCCAGCTCCTTGTTCTGCATAGTTATTGAATGAGGTATTTGCTAGGAGATGAATTCCGCTCAAATCATGGCTGTTTTCTGATAAAAAAATAATTGCTTTATTGCAAATTTTGTGCCATGTGTTGCTTTACAGTACAGTTTATCGAGATGCTAATCAACAGTTTAGTATGAAATCTGTGAGATGGTTCTTCAATATAAAGTGTATACTAGTGACATTGCATGCTCTTCCTCTTGAATTAATTGATAGAATTTTAAAACGACAGAAAAACTAATTCAAGAAATGTACTGAAAACTTGAGCTGAGGACTAATAAAAAAAAATAAAATAAATTAAAAAAAGATTGTGAACTAACCACTCATCTCTTTTGAAGATGGTCACAAATTCTTTTCTGTTTTACCATTCACTTCAATGACTTTAAGTCACGGCTAAAGCTGAAAAATGTATTATGGATGGTAATCAAATAGCTCCATGAACAGCTCAGAAAACCACAAATAAAATGTGGACATTTTGTGGTCTCGTTACATTTAAATACCGGTGCCATTTTAGGGTCAGTTTGATCCCTTTGCATGGCACACACTTAATATATTATTCCTGTATAGTGCAAATATGTTGCTCGTCTTGCATATTCCCTGCAAAAAAAAAAAAAAAAAAAAAAAAAAGGTAAACCATAAGTAGTAGTATGTGGTATATTGAAGCGATTATGGAGGTACTTTTAGCTAAGAACGTAAGACTCCATTAAGTCTTCACAACAGGACTTCTCTTAACCAAGAAGGAACGAAACCAAGAAGGAACGAATCCAAACCGGTTACAATATAAAGAATTAGTCATTGTGCGATTTCTGGTTCCATCATTGATCGAGCACAGTCTTCCGTATTTGTTCCATAAAGTGTGACAGTCAGTGACTTCTTTATAAATAAAAATGAAAGAGAAATAAAGTACAAACACCACAATTTAATTATTTTTTTTGTTTTATTCAGAGGCATTTGACAAGTGGAGCTGTGTGTGACAGGGAGGTGAAGGGGCAAAAGCATGGCTGCAGAGAGAGCGTGAAGGGAATATCATGCTGAAATTAGATAACTTTTCCAAAAAACTCAGAGACCCAGTCCCTCATATCTGTCTCATACCAAGATTTTCCACGTTACACAGCCAAGAAATGCTAACAGAAGAAAAAGCTACTGAATCAGCGAGTGAGTGTAGCATCTGTGAAAGACAAATAGGGAAAAAAAGACAGGACTTATCTATTTTGAAGTCTTTCAAATCGGCAACAAAAAAAGGCAGGCCCTTTTTTTTTTTTTTTCTTTTTTAACTGTATTTTCTTGTTTTAACTATTGAATGCAAAATCAAACACGTGATTTGACCTTTTTCACAAAAAAACCCAAGCAAAAGTTCAAATACATGTAAGCCACACCACCAAAAATAGAAAGCAGAAAGAAATAATTATCGGTTGAGGATTTCAATTGAGCCAAAAAGAGTACATATAAACACTGGCAAAAGAAAATATTTTTGATTACTTTCGATTATTCTCTCAATTCTAAAGAGTACATGATTTTAGTTTAAGTTTTCATTCATATCTGGGTAAGCATGGGGAGCCATAAAGGAGGGTTTTGGGGGGGGCTAAATTCTAACAAATAGAAGAATGCCTCTACTTCAAATACGTGTCTAAAGAGGTAGATCAAAACAAACTGCGGAGGAGGAGAGGGTGGTTTGGCAGGAAGGGAGCAGGGATTTAGGAGGTGTCAGGGATATTTTTAAGTATCACTTGTGCCCCCTCAGTTAAGCGCGGTGTTAGGATCGCGCGCCCGTGTAGAGAGAAATGTTCGGGGGACTGAGGTATCAATGCGGGCTGGTGCTCAGTGGGGGCAGGGTGGGGTGCCTCAACAACCCCCCACCCCCTCAGCTGAGGTAGACGGCGTTCTACTGTGGAAGCATGGATACACTCAACTTTTGCCACAATCAACATATTTACATTCGGCATGAAGAGACAAATGAAATATATTGTATATTTACGTTTTGGATTCCTTTCCTCTTTTCTTACACCGCCCCTCCAGTCAGGGTTCATTCAGTATTTTTTGTGCCTTTTCCGGCTATTTTGCCTGTTTGAACAACAAATTGGAACATCAAGTTACATTTGGGGGCGACAGAGAATGTCTTGTTTAAATCATTTTCTTATAGCGCAAAAGAAAAAAGGAAAAAGAAAAGTTATGAGTCCATCAGTGTGACTCCCCCTACCCTCACCATGCAGTGAACGACGTTAACATTGACTTAATGGCCTGGCTACAAGGGCCACTCCGAACTGACAAAGCTGAAAATAAACCTAGTCGGGCTTGGACCTTGCTAAGACACCATCGTCAAGGTGGCGGCAGATGGCCTGTGAACAGAACAGACAAAAAAAAAACAAACAAAAAAAAAAAAAAAAACAGATGCTCTGCTGACTGAAGGGCAGCTAGAGAGGAGACCATTACGGTCCACACTGCACTGCCCACGGCCCTCCTAGGAAGGCAAAAAGGACTTTTGACAAATTAAAGTACCATTACCAATAATGTCAATCCCAAAACTAAATGGCATTGCTGTAATTATGTACGGTTGGCGTTATTTGCATGTCTTCGATGTTTTGTACTCATTTTCAGAAAATGGTGGACCCTCAGGGGAAAAACTGAGGTGATTTTCTCTCGATACTCCTGTCAGCCGCCAGCTGAGGGGGCGCCAACTCTTGCTCCGGGGCTTCTATGTACAAATAGACTTTATGTACAGGGTCATCTTAAGTCACACATACACATGAACAATGCCACCTAAAGCACCAGAGTTGAAGGCAAGGTCAGTTGGCAGCTGACCAAATTTTAAATTTTCTTAAAAAAATAAAAATGTTCAAAGACTATCAGCTTTATAAAGTATACAAAATACCACAAAAGCAAAATAAAAAAAGAAAGGAACATTTTTTTCATATATATAATCATTTTTTCTTTTCTCTTCTGAGGTACTAGATCCTGAGGTAGTTAAGTAAAATGCATATTAAATTGGTTTTCCTGGGCAGCAGCAGTTCGGCACCGTTTCCCCAAGTGTCAGTCATGGCGCTGCCCTCACCTCTAAATATATATTCATCTATGTATATAGGTCTATCTATAAAATGCATCCAAATTTATAAAATGCCACTATCATTACAAGGGCAGGACGCCCAATATAATCCACCCTTTCAGGGGTCCTGTCCTGAAACAAGAATCTTTCCCCCTAAACATGGCCCACTCAGTTAGAGCCAACCCTCCCTCAAAATAAACCTCTGTTGGTCCAACCAGGACCTTGATAGCAATGCCTTTTTCTTTCCACAGAAAACTCATGAAAAAGCTTCATCAACCAATTAAACACTAAAAGAAATGAAAGAAATAAATGAAAAAAATCTGAAGTCAACCAAAACATCCTGTCAGGTTTGAAGTACCACACCAATGAGGCGATAAGAGGGGGATCCTTACTTCTTCTTTGTGATTCTAGTGTAAAAAGAGGACCAAAACAAATAAAAATTCAACACACCCGTGGGGGGAGGAGAGCGGTCGAGGGGTGCGTACATGTGAGGGCAGGTGACGTTGTTGGGAGCCCTCAGAAGTACTTTCTCAGAGATGTACAGAGCTGAGGTGGGAGGAGGTTTAGAGGCGTGGGGCCGCTTTTTAGCCAACCTTGAAAGTTCATCAAGTAAGACAAGAAGGGGTAGATGTTTGGTTGGGTTCTGATAACCTGTGGCCCCCGAGATGAGCGTTACGACCCCTCGTCTTCCTCTTCTCCTCCCGGACTCTGCTGCATCTGTCTATCCGTCGAGTCTTCTGGCAGATTCAGTCACCGTTCCTCCAGGTCCGCTGGAGTTTTACTTCCTGCGGGGCTGGGGCAGTTGGGCTCCAGATGTGGGTTTAGGCTGCTGCTGCCTCTTCACCTGGGCCAGGATCTCCTGGATCTTTCTCTGAGCCAGCTAGATGACATGAGAACATGTTAAGATCAGATCACAGCGAAGAGTAGTCAAATAAAGAGTCCTTTAAAAAAGGATCTGATCATGATATGCTCAAGTGATGTCTTATAGTCAATACATAGTCTTCTCAGCATGTACGGGATAACAGCTGACTCTCTTTTGCCCCAAGTTTGCCCCAAAGTAGCTTACTGCATGACCTTTATACAAATGCAGAGCTGAAGAAAGACAACTTCTTATATGCCTCTGGAGATTCAGACCATACATCTTCAACTCCTTTAGATAAAACCCACCTGGCATGCAAAGAAGTGTCCACTGATCTTGACTATAACCTGGTCATTCTCATCAGGCGTCTGGTCCCTGGGCACCACCACCTCTGCACAGGTCAGGTTCTGCAGCTCGTTTACCTGCAGCCACAAGAGATAATAGAAAAGTTACAACTTAATAAGAGTAAAGAATTGGATTGTAAACACCACCGTTTAATTATAAATTTTTCATTTGTTCGAACAAACTTCAAGTCAGTGCCAAGTTAGGTGCCCATTTTACCGTTTTGCCCCCTTTCCCAATGACTCTTCCAGCAGCGAAGGAAGGAACCTTGATGTGAGCCTCCAGCTTCACTTCTTCCTTGGGTCCAAAGAAATTCTCTTCCTTCAGCTTGCCAAAGATGCGACACTGAGCCTGCAGCCAAACGGGTACAAATGTAGATTAATCATGGTGCACTTCAGAATTTTTTTTTTTTTTTTTCCAGAAAAACATATTTCCATAGTGGAAGAGAGTTAATAACATACAAATAAAAGCCAAAAATAAAAGAATATTCTCAGAGCAAAATAAGTCAAAGAGCTGCTAAACAACTGCTAGCAACAAGATGAACTAAGTGGCTCCCTTCTGTTATTTCTAAAATGGTGTTTTGTGTGTTTATATGACTGTGAAGAGGTACACCACCTTAAACTGAGCCTCTGGTGGTCCAGCGATGATCACCACCCTATGTGGTTTGGCACCCACATCTTCTGCAGGGGCAATCTGAAAGAGGGCAGTATTAAAGCCAATATTAAATAAAACGATTAAAAAAAAAAAAAAAAACACAACCAGCAACCGCTCAGTCAAGGCAAGGACAACACGTCGACAGCCAGAATCGACACTTTATCATTGAGATTTCAAACTTCACTTCCTGCCCGTCACTCACCTTGATCGAGGCTCCGGCAAAGTGTGACAGCTGTTTGATGTGTTGACCCTGTTTTCCAATGATGGCTCCGACCGCAAGAGCAGGGATGAACAGGTGAACCGTCTCCGACTCCGGGTGTCCCTGCTGGGAGTAAACACTTAAATGCTACTGTGACCAGGAGTTCTCACAGACAGTAACTGACGGACTACTTGCTTCAGCCACCTATGCGCAAGTGCAGACAGTGGATCAAGCAAAAGCGGTTCCAATTCTTTAAGCTACATTGGAGCTCACGCTCAAGTAGGAATTCCTGAAAGAGAGCACATTATATGTTCCAACACCTTAGAGTTTTTAATCCGTTCTACCGCTCAAAACGAAACTGAGAACCCATTTGCTGAATGTTTTTATACATAAAACATAGTATGCCACATGCATGACTAGAAATTCCATCTGAAAAAGAACCAGGTTGAATGTGGCATTTGGATATGGAGGCCATGTTTTTCATCAGAGAAGACTGTATTTACAGATACCTTGTTGCAAAATGCTCCACCACATCACTTGTGTTTTAGTGGGCGTGATTGATTCGAGCTCTGGAAGGGGAGGTGGTTTGGATCGTCCGAAAGGGACAACAAGTAGCACTGATGATTTTGGATCAAGCCCAATATTCTAGTCAACATGTCAGCTGAGGGTACACTAATAACTTGCTTTGGCAGCCTCCAAATCTAGAGAAGGGCTTTTAGTGCTGAGAATGTGCCGTTTGAAAAACATTACCCTTCTAAAAACCTAATTGTAATGCAGCATTTTTTTGCAGAAATAACACTGTAAACCATCTGGGGATCTTAAGTATGACTAGTAATGAACACTAATGTTGCCCTCCAGGACTTAAGTTTCCACATGCAAAGATTAGGGCCTTCCTGGCTGCTCGCCGACAGCATAGAGGCCCAAAATGGCACCTCACCCCCATAAGGACTGCACTAAAGGAAAAAAGGAACATGAAGCCGAGTTGCTAAAGACTAAATGTTTTTAAATGAATTGTAGTTTTCACTACCCTGACCGAAGAGTTGCAAATTAAAGTTTAAAATGGAAAAACGCAGCCAGTCCTGGGTTTGAAAGGGTAGCGAATGGGGCAAACCACCGTGCTGTATGCGACAAGGAGACAGTCACTTACCCCAAATGACGAGCATCCACCGTGGGCTCCCGGAGGAGGGATACTGGACATGGAGTGACCCATGCCTGGTGCTCCACTGGGGAACAAACCCAAAGCGTTCAGATTCAAGCCTGGAATCAGGTTGGACTGGAGCTGGAGTGAAATGAAAACATTGCCATTAACACACCACAGGTTGTGTCAACACAACGAATACATTATATTTTCTTTAAAAACACAAGTGAGGACTTCAGATAAGAAATAAAAACAAAACACAACTTACATTTATTGTGTCCATTTTGTTAACAGCATGCATGCTGTGTAATAAGCTTTATTTGCATTATTATAATTTTCCTTATCAAATATATAAATGCTCACATTCATAGCAGCCATGTCACTCTCATACGATTCCCTGATCTTCTTCATCAGCTCCTCCTCGGCTCTTGCACATGCCTCGATGGTGCCCTTCACTGTGATGGTTCGCTCTGGGTTGTACATAGTCAAGTCCTGGAGACTGAATGGAAAGATGGAGGGGGAGAAGTGACATGAGAACAATGGTGTCAGACTAAATTCTGACAACATGACATGCGTCTATGCTTTGGTAAGTAGCACTTTTATGAATGGGCCGCACAGACCACAAATAGTCCATGAAAAGTGCCACCAGTGAACTGTGAGTGCATCAAAGAGTCTTACGCTGAGATTGTGATCTTGGTCTCTGTGTCCTGCTCGATTTTCTTCAGGTTGCGCCCTTCCTTTCCAATTAACCTTCCTACAAAGTTGTTGTGTGCGAGTATCTTCAGTGGGATCTCCTCAGTGCTGCAGACAGATGCGTTGTTTAGTTTAATGCTTCAGATCACACCTCTCCTACAAATGTCGGTTTTATCTACAGTATCTTAGGGACATTTCTTTCACATTCTACACACAGGCTGTGCAACCTGCAATCCATCCATCCACATCTGCCAATTATGTCACAGACAGCTGTGCACCACATCATGTCTACATTTCAGAACATGCATAACAATCTTTTTTGACTCGATTGTAACACATGGAAAAATGACTGATGGCATTTTAAGAAAGAGGAATTTCAATAGACAAAATGACAATTACATAACTGGAAAGGGTGGGCCAAGTGTGTAACAAAACCGCTTATGGTATTTCACAAGTTTATAAGAGACACAAAAATACTAAGAATTAGGTTGAACTGGGTTCAACCCAATTCCCTCTCATTTTGTTTGGGTGCAAACTCACAACTTTGTGTCAAGGGCTTCCTTCTGCATGATCTCCATGATTGTTGTACAAGCATTCGAACAACCTTCAGGGGTGGAGTGAATTGTGATGGGCTTCTCTGCTGCGCCTGCATTTTCTTTCCTATGGATGTCAATCCTGGAGTAAAGGCAAGGTAGAATTATTTGTATAGCACCTTATAATAACAAGGCAAGATAAAGCATAAGACAGGAAGGCATTAAGATGAGATATAAAAGAAATGTAAGCAATACAAAAATAAAAACTTTAAAAGTATTCAAATAGAAGAGTCGGATGAACTTAAATAGAATCAGTTAAACTATAAGTTAACAGTTCTCCTGGTCAAAGTTAAGACTCTAGCAGCTACGTTCCATGACTACAGCAAGATTGTCGAGCAAGGTTCGTGGTCTTTAATGTTTGCAATTGAAGGTGCGCACTGATTCTTAAAATCATTCTTCTTTGGGTGCAGAAAACAAATACTTCCGTATTATCTTCAGAGGTGCATGTTCTCCAGTTAAATAATCATTGCACTCTCAGGGCTTGAATAGCACCAGTCACCTGTTGCGATGGTTATGAAATCTGTGTGATATTTTCCATAATCTGCACTAGTGGGAGGCTGTAAATGTCTAACAGAAGAGGCCCAAGAATGGAGCCCTGGGGAACTCCACATCATATTTGTTAATGCGCAGATGTGCAATGACTGATGGACACAAAATAGTCCCCGTCCTTCAAATAGGCAGAGTACTAAACTGGTTTGAATTCTGAGTCCTACACGGTTTTCCGGTCCATCTAGTAATATGTTTTGCGATTGAGCGTGTTGGATGCAGCAATTATGTCAGATGACACTTAAGACTGAAACTTTTCTACTATGTGCGTTTAGGTGAATGTCATTTAACAAGAGCAGTCTCAGTGCTGTGGTCAAAATTATAACTAGAAAAAAATAATTGTTTAGGGCCAAGTGGGTATCTTTTCAATTATTTTATTGAGGTTTGATATGGGCCTCTAATTGTTCATTAGTTGTCTAGATTGTACAAGACTGGCTTAATAACTACAGTTTCAGGGCCTGTGGGAAATAGCTTGAGTAAAGAAGTATTGACTATTTGCAGAAGATCTGATGCCATGCAGTGAAAAACAGTTGAGGCAAGGCAGCAGGAGGAGAATTTCAAATATTGCACAATTTCATCCAATGCTATATGTTTGACGGGATCAAATAGTGTCATGCTACATGAAATGGTCACAAGTGGACCAAGGACAATACAATGGTGGGCAAAAGATCAGGGGCTACAAACACAGCAGGGATTGTCAGACTGTCAACAGCAGCAAATATAATAACGGCATGTGTATTATTCTTTTTAGACACTTGAATTTTGACAAGCGTGGCATTTCTCCATAGTGCTTTTTCCCCAGAAACTACCATTATCCAAGTAGGAGAACAGGAAAGAATTTCAAAATCAGTCTACTGTAATCCTGGACGTCGACGGTACAGAAATAGGAAAGGACACAGCCGACTGGTTTCGTATAATTCCTGACCTCTGTGTACGTACTTTGAGTGGGTCTGTTTGGTGATGTTGCGAATGGTGGCACCTTCCTTGCCAATAATTGCCCCTACAAACTGCGTGGGAACCAGTATGCGCAGCGGAATGTCCGACTGCATTTTGGGCCGGGCGCCCAGACTTGGAGAGCCGGAGCGAGAGGTTCCACGGGCGTTATAGCCTCTCCTGCCCCCCGCTGAAGGACCCTCCGGTGCCGCCGTCTCATCTGGGATAAACGACACTTTCAAGGCATAGTTCTCCATCATAGATTCGTTCAGCTTCTCCATTGCCCTGTGGAGCATACAGAGATGTCAGTCTCGAAAACTCTGGATAGACTCTGTGCAGGTATGATTTAACAACACAGGAAGGCTTTTAGACGTTCATCATGACAGGAAATGCTCTGAATGGCCAAACTAATTTCTGGAAATCCACAAAGCATCAGGTTGGATTTCTTTTCCCACCCATTTCCTTATCAATGGTAGAATCCAAGCAGTGGGGCCAAAATCAAGGGACATGGGCGTAAATTGAAACAGTGCATGTCTCAAATGATTGGCACGAGGAGTTAAGAAGTCCTTACAAGCCCAACATACTGAGGGGCATCGGTTAAACATCAATTCTCGTGAGCTACGAGAAATTCACCCTGAAGGTAGCATTCACACTTCATACAAGCCTGCCTCGTCAGCCTCAGGAATTTGTAGTGAAACAATCAATTATGCCTGAGAATCCTAGAACCACTCGTGCAGAGAACAACATTGTAGTGCGATTCATGTACACCAGGGGGCACCAGATGGCTAATTTAACCCCCCCACACACTCCCTCTCCAGCACATAACCAACCCCCCCCCCCATCACTGCATGTCAAATTAAACATGACTGGTTTTTTGGAAGGATGAAATCAGGTGCACTGTAAGAACACTAGACAGAGGAGCTTGATGTAATTTCCAACAGAGAATGCTAGCTAAAGTAAAAAAAACAACAACATCAAGACTGATGAGCTGGCGGTTAATGATGTGAACACACTGCATGTGCGTGTATGCGTGTGTACTCACAGCCTGGCCTGGTCCTTGGCTCCATATCGAACGTTGACTACTGCAGTCTCTGTGTCAGTGTTGACTGTGGGAGAACACAGCAGAGTCAATCGACACATTCAATGGCACTGACACAATCTACCAACATGGGCTACTTTTACATGGTTACACAGCAACACAATAAATCCTTCAGAAATTGTAATGATGCATTATACAAGTATTTGCAGATTTACTAAAGCATGTCACACAAATTCTGAATGCAGTATAAAAAAGGCGAGTTGAAGCAAGGTGGTGGAATTACATTTTCAGCAAAATAAAGAAGTATTTTTCTACCTTGTTCACAGCTCTCTACTGCACCATACTGAGCAAGCATACCATCCAAAACCTGGGAGAAAGAAAAGCTACGGTTAACTCGGAGCCCTTGAAGGCCTTTGACCAGAACCTGTTTGTGAGAAGAAGCTCATTTATAGGAACCAGCCCAGCTCACGACCAGGACACAGGCCATTAACTCTGAACCCCAGAGTTTAATGTCGAGTTACGTGGATACATTTGCTACCTTCTTGTAAAAGCCTGTCTACCTCGAATTATGACTCTCCCCTCCGGTAACTTGCATGGTGCTCCAGGTGCAGAATGAGTTTGACATTTTTAAAAAGTACCCATTATTCATAGTAAAACAACTCTCTTTAATAAATTAAACACATTCAAAGTTAAGATTTATAAGCAGCCTGCTATTCATCACACAATATACATAGATTTGTTTAACCATGTCAAACAAAAAAAAGGATGCTTTTACAAAAGGTATTCAAAATATATATTTAAAAAAAAGATTTTTTTTTTTTTGCTTTATTAAAAACGCATTCAAAAGAAAGCCACATCAAGATGGCCCCCTGCCCAAATCTGGAGACTACAGGATTTCAATTCATAGATGTGATCAAAATGTGGGCGAGAGGGGGAGCGAGGGTCCTAAACTAAGCTAAGCTAAGACATCTGACCATGGTAAGTCAAATCCAAGGCCACACCCCCAAGAGCTCAACCCCACTTTCTAGCCAACCAGAAGGCGTCCCTGCCCCCCCACCCCCCACCCACTCCACCAACATCCCGCCTCCCTGCCATCTCTGCTTCCCCGTCGTTGGCTGCTTCTGCGGTCCATACAAGTTCCCTGAAGCCAAAGAGTTGCTGGCTGGACGCCTCGCCTGACCGTCTACCGAGCACAGCCAATGGGAATCGAGGCCATTCAGGAAAGGGTGGGGTGCATTCCAGCAGGAAGCAGTGGCTGGGGGAGGGGTGCGAGTTCATGCTACACATTCTGTGAATCGGTGCACATGGAAGGGAAGGGGAAGCAGTCCAGGCCCACCCACTCACTACAGCTTGCGAAACACTCCACTATGCTCAACACTATTCTCTTGCTGCAGGGCTACGCACACCATGAGCCATTGTCTTATCTACCTGATAAGATACATACAAGGCCTTTGCAGCAAAAGAGCCCATTCTACTAGGTTACTCCATTCTCCTAACCCCTCCCCCCCCTCTGGGGGAGAGAAACCCCCATGTCACCTTTTGAGAAAGCCAACAGCTCGCTCGCTACATACTAGGAACATGGGTGGATCTGGAGCTGCATTTGAGGGACATGCGTAGGCAAAGCGAGCCCACCATTACAAAACACTGAGCCGGTCCGCAGCCATTTGATCACACTGAGTGAATCAGCCTGAAATCTAAAGCCATGCGTTAACTTTACCATTTACAATATTGAAACATTTTAACAAAATTCTCATTAGCCTTCCATAGTCTTTATGGAGCGGAAAATTAAAACTGAACAAAGCTACAGCCACACGCTATCTGAGCTAAACCTCTGCAGAGGGAAGAGGGAAAAAAAACCAAAAAAAAAAACCAACTAGTCACATAAAGCTGTTACTGCCACATGAGATTCCACATGGAGGTCAACAATGAGATCTCAAGTTTGACACATGATTTAAAACAATAAATAATGAGCTACAGTCAAATGTGTCATACAACTTTCAAAATGTTGAAACTAAAGTCCAGATAAATGTACGCGTGGCCAGTCGACAGTGTGTAATCAGAGTACATGTGTAACAGACACTGAATACCAAACATTTTCAAATGAAACGCTGATCACATGCAGAGAAAGAGAGACATGCAATGCACAGACACACACCACTGTTGCGCAACACTCTATCAGGCAGTGGACTTGAAATCCAACCATATTACAGCTCATAATTTATTTTTACATTATTCATTTTTACGCAACATCTTTTTGCCTGTTAACCCTTAATGTAATACAAAAGTAGATTGCATTTAAGATTTTAAGAGGCAATCTCAAAAGGTTTTCATTCAAATAAATGTGAAGTCACCATCTCAGAAGGAGGCAACGACAGTGACGGAGCATAAGGCCACTGATGAAAGTATTGCTCTTTGTATACATTTGTAGCATTACGAACTGTGCGTCAGTGGCGACATTCATGGCAAAGAAAAAAATGCTGCATTACAGCTTTCTCCATTGTATGCACACAATTCTAAAAACTTGAAGCTCATACATCAACAAAAATACTCAAAACTGCTGAACTCTAATAGGAAATGAAAACCAACCAGGACCCTTACTGCTTCAACTCATATCCTCCGATGAGTTCACTGGATGTTCTGTCAGGGTTCTACAGAGTTCTACTAATAGAACCGATGACAGTTTTGCCTCATCAATTCAGACACATTTTTCTAATGAATTTGTCAGACAATATGTGGGTGTATTTTAGCCTAAAATACCAAAGGGTCAGTTCCAAGCGTAATCCAAGACCAAGGCAAATCAGTTGTGCAGTTGCCTGTGTTGGAATAGTTGTGTGTGTAAAACCATCAGTTTGGAAAGGATTCACTGCAAGTTGTAAATTGTTATTTTGTTTTTTTTCTCTTTGTGTGTGACCTCTGTCAAAGTTGTTTGCATATGAGTTTTGCTAGCAGACAACAAAATGGGCATATTTAAAACACTTGGGACAATTTGAATGAGATACAGTACAATAAATCAGAAACAAGTACTTCTGTAGAGTTCATGCTTTTAGTTAACAGTGTCAGGAGTATAGAGTAATTTGAGGTAATGGATTCCGTAATTGTTAGTTTTACCATGAAAGATTCCTTGTGATATATTCACCATGAACTAGGTCCTTAAATTGGCATACAGTTAAATCTTTACAGAATCTAAACTTTTTTTAAAAGCTTCAAACATTTAGTGTCGGGCTGCCTTCTTGATTAGTTGACTAATCGGTCACTTTGGTCTTAGTCAACTAAGATTTCTTAAGTCAGTTAATAATGCTATGGTTTTTCCATGCTGAATGAATTATTTCCCATAAACTTATGAGCAGATCTGTGGTAAGCACAAGATTTAAAGTGGTACTCTTGTGTGATTCTCTGTGGAGAAACTCAATTGTAATTGACTAAGAATTTCTTTGATTGCTGACAGCCCTAATTTGGTGTTTTATTGCATGGTCAGTGATGGCATGCATTGCACTCAATTGTACAGGCGCTTTTATTTTCTCCACCCTCTACATGTCAAGGAAACACTGAAATATGTACTTCTTTTTTTTTTAAATGTCTTCATTTCCAGACTAATTTGGTTAATTATGCACACAAACAAAACTACCTCAAATTTAGATAGATCATAAAATAATGAGTATAAATATCCCATAAACCACATAAGGATTATCAGACTTGGGCTGGCCAGGGGTCAATCCGCTTTCACATGAATGTTCTCAACCCCTCAAACATATAAAAAAAACTCATCTTTTTTTTCTTTCAAGAAAAACACATTGTGTGGAAAGGCACTCCTTCAAACTAGCAAATGTGATCAGTGTTGAAAACACCGTGACCCAGCAATTAATTCATGATTAACATTTTAATAAGAACATCAGCTTTTTTCACAATGCTTTATAAACATTAGTAGGTGGCCAATACATGTGGCAATATGATGCTGCTAAGATCATATAACTGCTTAAAGTTTCCTTACATGCCTAATTCAGCCAAACCACATGGAGACCTTACTCTTTAAATTCTTCCATTGTCCTTGTTCAGCAAACTGTGACCACCTATTCTGGCTTCCACAAGTTTCTGTGCAGCTAAATTATAAAAAGTCAACCTTTAAATCCTCACCACCGATTACTAATGACATTTGTAATACTTTCTGGTCTACCAATCACAGATCCAGCCACTGGTCCTAGCGCGTTACACTGGCTCAAACGGATCATGAAGCGCAAGCTCAATTGAAACCCAAAAGGGAGACGAGGTGACTCCAGAGGCCACTAAATGAGAGCCCACTTGGGCTGCCCGATTGGTACCCCGCCCTGGAAGCAGTTAGCAGCCTGTTAGCACTCACCTCCCACTGCATGTGAGGCGGGATGTTCCTGATCTGCAGCTTACAGCTCCTGGAGAGAGAACAAGGAAGGAAAAGGGTGGGGGGTGGATAGAGGAAGAGGGAGAGAAAAGAAATTGATGGAGGAAGATGGGAATAATAATGGGAGGGGAGAGAGAGACAGTTAGTTGCTGACAATACCAATAGTACAATGGCACAAAACATTAATTAAAAAAAAACCAACAACAACACAGTAGGTCTTCATTCTCTCCACCATCTAGCGAGAGAGAGAGACCAGGGTGGAGAAGCTGCAGATATAACTTCTGCTTTCATTTTATTCACAACCCAGCAGGTGCACTGAGACACCCAGTGGAAAAACGTGGGAGGAAGTGATGGAGAAAAAGCAGGCAAAGGGGGGGATTTGGAATCACCACTGGGTGGCCTAAATTGAGTTGTGGGCGCTCAAAATTAAAATTACCCCTAAAACGCACCATTCCCTTTATCCCAAAACACCAATTGTGTCACAGAGGGTGCGAAGAACGAGATAGGGAAGAGAAGCAGGATTAAGAAGCGGCAGAAAGAAATAGCATCAAGAGGAACGCAGAGGGAGGGGGAAAAAAATGATTGGAAAGGTGACGACGCATCTGAATGTGTTGTATACACAGTTCGAGGCAAGCGTGTGTCCTGTAGTATTGCATAATGAGGATTCAACCACTGCAAGGTCCCCCCCTAACTAAAATAGACACTTCACCAGGAGCATCCAGCTGTTGTATCAAAAACGGGGGAAGGGAGGGAGTGGTGCTGCAGGTGCCCAACGGAACCCAAAAGGGAAACTCCGCTAGCCGCATCACACTAAATGGGGGAGAATCTAAATTGCGTGCTTGTTCATAGACTGTGTGCATACAGCAGAAGCAAGCGGAGACTAGCCGTCACAATGGTGCTGCTGTGCTCCGGCACCAGAAACAACAGGGACAGAAAACCCCAATTCATCCTTTTTTTTTTAAGCTGGAAAGGTCCCCAAATTGAGTTGCACGTTATTTACAGCAGGAGTGACCTCCACTCACTGGCTGAGAGTGGAGGTCACGCAGACAATGAAACTTGTGGATCAATGAGTCAGAGTTTCGCAAGTGTCTGCATGCGTGCGGACGTTGTATAAAATGTGAGAAAAGTGCAGGCCACTCCAAAGTTCACCGCCTGTTGATACGCACAGATCTAAAGGAACAAAATGTACACATGGCCCGGAGCTGAAGTGTGAACACGCTCACAATGTGGCATCACAAACCCCAACCCCCACACCCCCCAACCCATTTCCACACCAGCCTTACGCTCACACGTGCAGCTAATTTAAGCTATACCGTGTTTACACATTATTTCCTGTCTGTGTAAAAACGTTACGGTATCGGGGATACTACACACATAGCTTGTTCTCTTCTTCAAGCTCCACCGAGCTGTTAAAAGACTTGGAAATGCAGCTCATCCACTTGTACAAGCGGCCCCACCGCTGTTGGGGGGGGGGTTTTTTTTTTTTTGTTTTTTTTTTTAAAAATCGGCTGTGTAGCATTTATAAACTCACATTTTGCACCTCAAATTTAAGAAACCATTTTCTTTTTTATTGTATTTTTTTAAAGTACACACAAGCTCATCTACGCAGTAAAACGTACTGCACATGTGCAACAAGGGCCGCGGTAGTTGAAATTCCTCAGCTTAGCCACCATGACCATAATCAAGCTAAAGCAGCTCAACTATATATTTCATTTTGTAGACATTAGGAAACTCTTTTAATTCTAAATGGGCAAATTGTAAAGAAAATTCCCAGATAACTTTCAAGAGGAATTCCAGCCCTTTCCGGCCCACGGTGCCATTCCTGGCTGATCCGGCCCCCTCTCCCCACACATTCTGTATGCTCTGCATTGCGGTGGGAACGCCATGCGAAATGTGCAAATTCACCAAGCACTTCCAGTCGGATTAACCTATAGCTTCACACACAGAAGAAGTCAGCCAGGGTATTGGGTGGGGGTTGGGGTGGTATACATTCCCTAGTCCAAGCCTTTGATTTGGGGAGGGGGGAGGTGTGTGTGTGTGTGTGTGGGGGGGGGGGGGGGTGTTGGGGGGGGCGACTAGCCCTGTTTCAGGCAAGGGTAACAAGGGCCCTCTCTGCGCTGTGGGGGTGGGGCCCTGTTGCCATGGACACGGACAAGTCCACTGACAGGAACATGTAGAGCGGGGTTAAATGTGGGAGGGAAGGAGGGGAGTGCCAGGAGTGACTGGGGTTGGCTCGTCATGTTATGGCCTGGAGGAGGCCGGACTCCTTATTTACTTTAAAAAAAAAAAAAAAAAAAAAAAAAAAAAAAAAATTAAAAGACTTTCTCCATGGTCGCCTGCTTTATTCGCCACCCAGCTGAGACCTACGGGCCTGCACTGTGGACATCATGCACACATAAAAAAAAAAACAGGAGGATTTACAAGTCAAGCACCTTGAGACTTCACTACATCTGTATTCCCCTCCATTTCTTAATCACACCGACACAGTCAACATCATCAGGGACGGTGTGGGACACATGAGACCCGAACTCAACGCCCATCCATTGACTGTTCAGTATGCAGAGGTTCTGAATGACTAAACTCTACACACGCCGGTTTTCGCCGCCCTCCGACAGGCCTTATATGCACACATACGCTAACTTCAACATTTACATAGCTTGGAATTCCCTCAGATAATTCTAATGAGTTGAATATCAGTAAGAAATTCACTCAACTCCTGCAAACCCCGATACACATTTGTGTCTACCTCCCAGCTGCACAAAAATACAATGTATATACATTTAAGAGATTCAAAATTGCAGTGTCATACTGATTTGAGCCTTGCAGGAGGGAGAGTTAAGGATCCTTTGCTCGTAGTCTGGTAAAACAAGGGGCCACATTCATAATTCTCTGGCACCCCAAGTCTCCGTCCCAAAACCCAGTTTTTGCAGGTGGGGCCCCACAGTGACCCAATGACCCAGAATTCTTGTAATAAGAGACGAGACATTTCTACCAACAGCACTGATACGATCTGCACTTTTGTTTAATATATATATATATATATATATAAATAAATAAAAAGAAAGTCAAAAAGGACCGAAACATTACACCACTTACTGAAATACAAATGTTAGGCTATGTATGTTAACCAAGTTGGCAGTAAGCACCTATGAACAAAGTATGTTTAACGTCCGGTTCTCTCTCTCTCTCTCACTCACTCTCTCTCTCTCACACACACACACCCTACAGCCATGACATTTTCTTTCCCTCTGCATGTGTTCATGTGGGGATAGGCAAGCTACATTTATTTTTGGATTAATTTATCCAATAAGGAGCATCATCTGACCCAGGATGTCAAGTCAGAGTGTACACAATAATGACACTACTGAAACTCAGTTTAGCTTACAATTAAGGAGTGAAATATTACAAAATAAAATTTAAAAAAAATACTCAGTATCTTTCGGCAAAAGTAAAAGTGGCCCAGTAGCACTAACAAGCAATTCAATACAATTTTTGTAAAAAGCTGGGTCAAAGGTGAAAATAGAATTGCCATTTCAAGGAGATCTGGTCAATTGAGTAAAATATAGCCGTTTTAACTGAAATGTAAATACACCTGTAAGATTCTAATTAATGCTTGGTTTCATATTGCACAAACAACATGCAATCTTAGGAGAAAAAAAAAAAAGCTCAAAATGTCAAGAACGAGTGGGTGTCATATTTACATGCCAGATTTAAAAAATAAATTTAAAAAAAGGCACAAACGTTTCAGAAGCTGGGCAGTGAAATGTAAATGTCCATAATATGGCTGAAGGTTTAATAACTAAATACTGCTAATACAATGGATCTGTGGACAATGCGTGTATTTAACTATTTTATTTTATTGCTGTTACTGAACAGAAAATATGTTTTATAGTAACATCTTATGTAACTATATGTTTTTATAGTCCACATCCAAAACTAATTCAGAGGAAGGTACATCTGGACCGTTACATTACTTCTCACATTTCCATCTTCACTACCACCAAACTGTAGCCATCCTGCCTTGATCTGTGTCTGCTGTAGCACTTCCCCTTGCTGATGGGTTCAGAGGTTAAGCCATGGTGATTGGCCGAGCCCCCAGTTGATATTTGTAGGTTGGAATGCACAATAGGGGCCTCGGTGTACAAGTGTGTGTGTGTGTGTGTGTGTGTGTGTGTGTGTGTGCAGCCTATACTCAGAATACTGTTCCCATTGACTACTGCCATGTCCCACGTTGTAAAGGGAGGGCACGTTTTACTTTTTTGAAGTGTGGCTGAAACTCGACTCTGTTGCTGCCATAGCCACCACAGCAGGCTGCACTAAAAAGACAGCAACCTCGCCATTTTTTTTTTCCTAATGAGGAACATTTGGAGGGACGTTTTACGATTTTACGCACAATTCCCCCCATGTAGCTCACCTGGTTTATTTATCCAAGATGCATTTTAGACAAACAGCCGGTCAAGCTGCCAGGGTAAGCTTGGCGTGACGTCCAGGTGGAAAATACATTTCACGTAAAGGCGTCAGAAATTCCCTGCTTGATCCTTTTTCCAACTCTACGCACTTTTCTATCATTCATGTCACGTAGAATCGCCTAAAAGCCTTCACGTTTCATCTGGCATTTCTGCTTTTCATATGTATTTGGCGTAAAACAGCAGATGATTCAGTCAAACTTAAAAAAAAAAAAAAAAAGGTTAAACCGTGCATATTACGTGTTGTGCTTATTATAAACCATTACACCAATTACGAAGCCAGAGCCATTTTAATTCAATTCAAGAGACGGATTAATTATGACCGAATTGCGTCACCACCAAAAAATACGCACACAATGCCAACAAAAGCTCCGGTATTTTACGTCCTCTGCACAGAATTACGTTACAAAATGTTTACAGTGTGGGGTGTCATTGAAAGACAAGCGACGGGGTGACGGGGGACCAACTCTGAAACCAATGTTTTTTTCGTGATTTGGGCCCCAAACCGCCCATTCCACTCGCGTGTGGGAGTCCATCTCATGCAACAGCAGCACAATGCGCAGAGGAGGGCGGAAGCGCAGGGCAGGCAGGGAGAATGACGGGCAGATCCTTCTCAAATGGACGACTCCAGAAGGCCTGTGCGCCTCGAATCCAGCCTGCACTCATTTCAAACCAGCACACTCGGGCTTTTACTAATCGCCCCTGAAGCTGGAGCTCAAGATATTTTACTGTACGTATATAACAACACTAGTGGGTGGGCGAGCGAGAAAATACAGACATTCGCTCGCTAAACCCAAACGTAATACAGTTTAAGGAGCAGCAGCCTAGTCATGGCGAGAGGAGGGAGTAGGCTCCACCACCATACGCCCCTTTCATTTGACCCCCAGAGCATTCAGAAGAAGAAGAAGAAGAAGAAGAAGACACCTCATTTAACCAAAATACTGAATTACAACATCAAAATACATTTACGGCAAATATCACTTGGTAAAAATGAAAAGCCTCTTAAAGAAAATAGAGGAATATTAAAAAAAAAAAAAAACAGTAGCTCCCACTAGTTGAACCAAGAAGCACCGACATATCATATATATATATATATATATATATATATATATAAACAAATAAACCTCAACCTACCTTTGACGTTTAGGGACCGAGTGCTCCACTTCGAGAACTTTCCCATGAAGTTCAACTTTACCTAAAAAACAAAAACAGAACTATTAGTGTCATTGAATCATTTGACGTCCTTCACAGGCCAGGCCTCCTCTGCGGCCATTTAGGGTCAGTGTTTACGACTTATTTCGTGCAGGGGCCTAAAAACCTTACCAGGCGCATACGTACACATAGCAACGTCCTGGATATTTACAGCTTATTGTGATACCAGCATTGCTGAAAGTGTGCGAGCCACGCACGAGCACACAGGCACTAGCACAATACGTAAAATTATACCAGATACATTTATTTATTTTATTTTTTTTACGTGTCCGGTCACGAGCAGGCTTAGCTTTGTTTAATAACAAACCATGAGACGAGCTGGATATATACAAAACACAAATGATCGTGTGGCTCAGATAGTTGGCCTACATTTGACTAACACAATTAAACCACCTGGTGTGTCAGCATGGGCGAAAAATGGCTTCACTACGTAAGGGAGTTGTGGCCACCGGAGGAGGCCTATAGTTTGAAACCTGCTCAAGAGTGTAAGCTCAAATTGAAGCTGATAAAAGCAGCAACGCACACACGGTCTCTGCTCCATGTGTTGCCCAAAGTGGGCCGTGTGATGAAGCCCACAATGAGGTTCACATTAACTGCGTTCGCAGCCTGTGCGCCTCACTGCCCTGAACGGGCACGTAACGGGAAAAGCCCTTGGTACCATCTCTCATCCTCGTGCTTGTGTTTACTCGACCATTTTATCAAGCCACACTCAGGGAAATTACAAGAGCAGAATTTCACTCAAACCCAGTGGCAGCTTTTTTTCGTGTGAGCCCACGGTGTCAAAAGGCCAAGTAAAGGTTGTGTGAGAGAAAGAGACGCTTGGTTACACCCCCCACCACACACACACACACACACACACACCCTACAGGACTAAAGTGAAGGCAATCTTCACACAATTGCAGCAGTTCGTGCGTCTTTCCAAATGCCACTTTTGGCCAACAACAAAAACATGTTCTCACCTGAAAGAACATCGATGGCCTTCATTGCAGCTTTCTCGTCTGGGCAATCCACAAACGCATAGCCATTTTTGACGAGAAACGGACCACTGTGCGGAATCTTCCACTGCTCAAAGATAGTTTCGAAGTCCTCCTCGCTCGCCTCAGCGCTCACGTTGCCAAAGTATAGCTTATTCATGTTCTGCGCCGAAAAAGGGGGACAATCTTCACGCTGAGGGAGAGCTAGTTAGTTGCTCTCGCGGATGTGCAGTGTTTTTAGAGTAGCCCAAATCGCCGTTACTTCTACGGAGCGGCTGTGGCGTGCTTCCCGGTCGTTCAAGCCACAGATAGATTTAAACTGGCAGCCTCACGGTGCGTTCGCTCTCCCCTCGCCCGTCTGTCTGTCTGTCTCTATCGCGCAATAAATAAATGCTCAATTATTAATCTCGTGTCTCCAAACGATGGCGGGCTGGGTGAAAAGGAGGAGAAACTACTTTGTGTCTTCCTCCAAACCCCTTTGGCAAAGAGAGAGTATGTCACACACGGTAAGGCTGGCGCCCGCCTCTAAGTCTAGAGCCTAGAATAAGAAGAAGAAGGAGATGGGTTGAAAAAAAAAATCCTCCGCTATTCCGGCGTTTTTTTTTTTTTTTTTTTTTTTTTTTGAATGAGCCACGTGTTCAAACTACAAATCAGCCCACACGTGAGGAATCCCAATTGCTCAATTAAGTGTTTGGGATTGGGGAAAATTGCACGGGAATCTGGGGTGGGGACAGCAGAGGGGAGTGGATAAAAAAAAGGAGGGGAAGAGTGGATTGATGTTGGGAAAAACCTGGCAAGCTATGTGCGTAAAGGGATTCCGTGAGAACCCAGTGTATAGTTTCTAGAATCACATTCGTATGCCTTTCTCTGCAAAGCCTGGACTCTCATTGGTCGGTTGAGGAATAGTAAAACGACAGTGCGCTAAGTGCACGCCCATAGCAGGAACGACGCTGATATTGCGGGTCCTTGTGTGCTCACGGCCGTGTTAAAGTGCGCTGTGCTGATGACACAGGAGGAAGGGCCATTCATAAATTATGTTGCACTATATTGTTAAATTGCACGCCGGACACATTTCATTTTAAGAAAACTTGACTGGGGAGTGCCCTGCGCCGCTCCTTTTGCGTAAGAGAAGGGAGTGACACGTACTACTATCCACATGACGGCATCCATCTTCTCCAGCTAGAGTGGAGCCATGCCCTCCCTGATCCACGCCTCAAAGTCCAACAGCAGGCCCGATTTGTCCGTGGCCACACACACTTGTATTGAGGGGGGAGTCTTTGGGTGAGATGAGTGGTGCCCCGCCATTTGTTTTTTTCCAACTTTTAGACCGTTTGGCCCTACGAGGAGGCGTTGGCCATGTGGACCGAATACACATAACGAGTTCCCTCTCTGCTATACCTCCGGCATGGATCTGCATTCACTAAGAGAGGGAGGGGTCTCCTACACTGAAGTGCCTCGAGCGTCCTATGTAACGCACAACTCCAAATCAGCCACGTGTGGAATCCACGTCTTAAATATAACACAACTGCCATTAAGTTATTTTGTCAGTCAGCCAAAGGCAGATAGTTTACGCACGTGTCACTCTGCGGGACACTGGCCGTATTTACAGAACTAGTGTGTACCTGTTGATGGCACCTGTTGATGGGGCGACCGCAGGGTCAACGGTTCGATCCTCGACTGGGACGTGCCACGTGTCGAAGTGTCCCTGAGCAAGACACTGAAGCCCCGGCTCCCCGGGCGCCTGTCATTGGCAGCCCACCCATCCCTATATACAGGGATGGGTCAAATTTCGTGTATGTGTATATATGTATAAAAGGCTTTCTATTCTAAGGGGTCTGTGTGCTTTCAGAGCTGAACTTGTTCTAGTTTTGCATCACCAAGTTAAAGTTGAATCCCAAAATCTCCAGATCGAATGAGCACACCTAAACAACACAATTGTTTAGGTGTGCTCAATACACGGCAGGTGTGACAGTCACCTTTATTATTTTAGATAGGAATATCAATAAATGATGCCATACATATTGGCATCATTTAATTCCAATAATTATGAGTTGTCCTATATGAGTAATGAATGTTAAATCAAAAACTGAGTGTGAATTGTTGCCAGAGAGTAACAATGCAAACTATTCTAAAAGAAAGTGAATTAATAGCATTAGCTTGTTCATCAACAGCTGGATTTTGAGAAAAAAAAATGAGGAGGAAAAATAAGATAAGGAGTGTGTAACCTCCACTGCAGCATTGCCAGTGCAAAGAGCTGTGCTTTGAGCTGAAACGATAGCAGCCTACTGTGTCCCTGCAGTTTGCTAACGAGTGGGCCTAGGTGTGCATGCTCGTGCGAAGCAGGTTACAAAGGGACTGTTGGTTTAGTGGGCCCTTCAGTCACTAGCTCAGGCTGGGGCCATGGTTGTCTCGGTGGGTTTACTCCTCTGCTTGCTGAACAAACACAAAGCCCTCTGATTGGTCGGGGAGGCTGTCCAATCAGAGGGCTGCAGCTCCGCTCCGTTATACTGCTGCTGGCACGGCCTCAACGCGTCCATTCATTGGCTCCTCGGCTCGACTATTCTATATGAATCAGCGCGCCAATTATGCATTTTCTCCCCGTGTTTCCTCTGCTGGTTTTTTTGTCACAAGCCATGAAGATGTAACGAAACGCAAGCAAGTGGCCATATCTGCGGCACTTTTTTTAGAACTCCTCTCAACTTTTCACGAAGTTTAGGTTGTGTTTACATCCGTGGACCACTCATTTAAATAAGCTAAAATAAAAGGGAATAAAAGAGAGCGTTTAAACTTCCGCTTTAGTGCACCTTATGTAGACTTGTAATCATTGTATAATTTGTTTTAACTCCCGAAATGTTTTTAAATAACTTTTAACTCAGTGGTTGGATCCATATAGGCCCATTCTTTCTGTATGGACGAATATAAAGAATGTATTAAACATGGAGGCTTTCCGTCGGCCTAGTTAGGCGCGTACAATTTTTTATAATCTAGAATATTCGGCTTTTATGATTTCCACTGAAAATGAAATAACGAAACGGAAAGCAGTTGGTACTCCCTGCCTGCTGCACAGCACCGTGTGGATGGTATACATATATAGAGACAGCAGTCATGTGAGTGCTCGCCTGACTGTGTCGGCTCAAATGAGCTGATGCATGGCTGCAGCCTGTCCGTGAGTGAGTGTGTTAGTGTGCGCGCGCGTGTGTGTGTGTGGCTGCAGGCTCTGCAGGAGGAGTAATGAATGTATCGCTGAGGAATGTACAGAAAGTCTCCCCGCCCCCAGTCTCAGGACTCCTCGCTATGGTCAAATTCCATAGGGGCGAACGGACATAAAGTTTCAGACGAGACTGCATCCTATGTGGGACGATTTCTGCGGTGAATGTCAGCACAGGGGGAGCAAAAAAAAAAAAAAAAAGAACTGACAAAATCGAGCTGGTTAAACATAGTCTGGGATATTTCTAGAGAGGAGAGAAGATTGTTTAAGTAAAACGCAGTTTATAGCCCAACTTTGAGCCGCTGGCCTCACTCCAAGAGGTAGTCGCCAAGCGCACGACCCCCTTTAGGCTACACTCAATCAAGGGATTCGGTTTTCCGGTGAGATTGCTTTATTTCGTATTTATTGCGAGGAGATTGTATTCTCTCACAATGTATTCTTTCCACTTGAGTTGTAAGCATTAAACTACAGACTGGCCGCTCCGGACAGAGTCAGGGAACAACAGTGGTGTGAACGCCATGTTGAGGAGAATCCAGAGCCTTACAGTAACATTAAGTGATGGAAACAATGTCCCTATGGATGTTAACGCCATTCTTTCTTCTTCTTTTTTTTAAACAGTCCAGACATATGTTTTCTATTTACATCAAGGAGTTTCATGCAGCCTCCAACACTTAAAAATGGTTTTCTCCACAGATTCTCCTGTGTGATGACACCCTCCATCTCATTAGAAAATGGCGGTGTGTTCCCCCTCAATGCCAAAGAAGATGACTTTCTTTTTAACAGCAGGACAAAATAACGAGTTAAAACTACCAGGTGAAATATCAAAAGGACAAATATATTTCAAGCTGATATCTTTGTTATTTGTTATTTGAAACAAAAGAAACTGCAGTCTTTTTCTCGTTTTCTCGTCACGTACTTTATTTATTTTTCAAAACAAAAGCCAAATCCTGGGAATTAGTTTGAGAAAGTTTACTTGACCTAGATCTACAGTTACAGAAAAGATTATTTCAATGTGAGGATATTTTTAAAGGAAATATTTGCTGTTGTTTTGTTCAAAACAACTCTTAAAAGCTATTAATAGCAGCCACACATATCGTCATACTATTGTTTTGTTTCACAACTGTCTGTAATGAAATGTGTATTTAATTGCAAGTTGTTTGATTCAATTCTGCACATGCTGCATTTCACACTCTGCATAGTGTGTTTAAGAAATAGCTTGTAATTCTTATTTGTTTTTATTTGTCAGTATTTTAACAAAACAATTATTTTTCTAATAAACATCTGTTGGTTTTTGCCATTTTTGTGATCTTGAGAGGACATGTTTTTAATTGCTGTAGAGCACATGATCATATTAATACCACATGTTAGTCAAGTAACTGTTTCCACGCAGAGTCACATGAATATTTGCTGACTTGGTCACACATTGTCTCTCTTAAATGAATTATTTCTTTCTGGCTGCTGTTGTTTGCTCGTTTCAGCACCTTGATTGATTAGTTGCCATATGATTTGTGGTGAGAAAACTGCACTTGAAACAACTCAAAAGCAATACATTTCTTCAATATCTTGTTTTGTAAAAGCAGAGGAAACATGGATTGTTGTGCTCCCAGTTTTCACTCTTGTAAGTTTACATTAGATCGTGTTTATTGCAAAATGAGGGGCATGATTTGTTGAATCTGCAATGAACTACACAGTATATTCTCTCAAGAGTAAAGCTTTCTGCTAATTATTGTTTAAAATATAGCTTTTATTTACTGCATGTGAATTTAGGTTTAGCTTTAGGTTGGAGGTAATCAACCATCAACTGAACAAATTAATTTCAGTAAAATAGTCCACTCATTTGATTTGGATATAAAATGCTGTGGCAAAGTCAATCACTTTTCTGTCTGGATTTGTACTTGTATACAAATCAGAGAGGTACATTGTGTGAAAAATATTGATCACAAGTTTGAAACTGTTTTTAAATTGATACATATTTTATTATGTTGATACAAACTAGCCTACAGTTGAAAAAAACCCCAATAAAACCCCATTTCTGGCTCAGTAAAGAACAGTTTGTTAAATTTGGACACTAAGATATAAACTTAAATGCATTTTGAACCTTAAAAAATATAATTTTACAGAAAACATCTTCCTTTAAGACCAAGAGCTTTAGATTATCCCAAAGTAAAATGATTAACAAGCTCAGGTGATATTTCTTTTGAACATCTATACCATCAGAACTCTGATAAGATAATCATGTGCTGTTAATGTTTCTGTTAAGTGGAGCCTCGTGTTTACTGCTCCGACATGAACATGCATGGAGAATTCAAGCCTACACCCCCCACCAGTCAGCCTGTGTTCAAACCCTACAGAATATATGAGCATATGTTGCCTATTAACCTTCAGACATTGTCCTGTACGTTTGGAGTGTGTGCCCCCAGTGTTATCTTCAGAAGTACATGTACTTAAAGCTACAGGTTGCACCTGGAATAGATCTTTGGCTCTCTATTATAAAGCATTGACCTCTACAGAATAACTATGTGGTAAAGTTGATGGAGGAAAGATGGAAGTTGTATATTCAATGTAGAATTAAAATGCACTGCATGTCCCTCCCCAGAGTGCAACAATGAATTGGCTCATCTTTGGTTTTTCTGAGGTATGGGTGAACTATTTTCTCTGAACTAGAAACTAATGTATCTGAATGTTTAAGTGCTATAGGTGAGATGTTGTTACATGCAATGCCAAAAATATGAAGCTGTTCCCTTACAAAGAAAAATTCATACATCACAACATAACCATAAGATAAAGTGCATTTTCTTCAATCTGCACCCTCTTCTCTACAGCAAAAAACACATCCACTGTGAATTAGTGGACTTTTTTTTAAGCTTAATTTTTATAACAAATGTTTCTGAAGGAATTCCATTGATAGAAGTCCACTGAACATGAAGGTTAAAATGAGCACAATGTATGCGATTAACAGCTTTCAGTGTTGAATCTCGTACTTTGACCCTTCCTTCCAGCGAGTCGTTACCTTGGAACCTTGAGAATTATCTTTGAGTTTGTGTGAATGAACACATAACTCTGAAGCGCCCCATGATATGGCAGCAGTGACTATTAACCCTATTTGAATAAAGGGCCTCTTTATTAAGGTGTAGAGATAAAGAACCCTCCATTCAGGTTTACCTTTGTGATTATCCAATAAGCACCAAGGTATGTTTTGTATGTCTATTTGGGACAAAAACTGATTAGGAGTTTATTAAGGTTTTGTTTAATGCAGGGAAATGTGACAGGGAACATTGTCTTATATTGAACAACCTGCTGCATTCTGTAGCATAGATTGGGCTACTTAAAGAAAGGACGTGTTCTAGTACAGTCATTGTTAATGAGAAGTACAGAACAGTCACATTTGAGCAAAGCCCAAGCTCTTTTTGTTACAGTGAACATGTACTGAAAAATGCTTCTATACAAACTAAGTACAGTTAAAGAATACTCGGAATAACAGCCGGTTTCTTACAGGTGAACTTTGTATCTCATGTAACGAAAGCCACCCAATAAAAGCTTGGCATCGGCCCTTTGCATGTGTTCAGTGGTGTAGCCTGAATGAGAGAAAACTCAACTTTTGTAGTTTCAAAAAGTGGCTCCAGATCAGCAACTTTAAATTTGTGCGAACATAAACTTATCATGCGCATCATCTTGGCACTGGTCTTGTTCTGTGAAACTCTCCCAGCTCGTTTTCCCATCTCACCCACTCAACTTAAAGCACCACCTCCCACCTATACAACAAAAGCTCATCAATTTAATGCACATTAATCACAAAAACACATTCAACTTTGGAGTTTTCATATATATGTATTTCCATACAAAGAAACAACAATAAAAAAAAAACGGTAGTACATGAGAATAAAAACCAGAGAAACTCAAATGACTTCCTTGACTAAAAAAAATAATGAAAGTGAACAAAGAACCACTGATGGCGCTCCATTGTAACGCCTGAATTACCTGCAGCTTACCAGTAAACTCGACCCGTGCTCGGCAACATTGAGATCAATCTGTGATCTGAACATACAGAGATGATTGTTCCATTTATTTAAAACAAGTTGACTGTCCCCATTATTTACAAAAAAAACCCAGTTTACATCCCCCCACCATGACACGGGCCACGCTAAAAGAGGCGGCATTGCTGCAGAAAGGGAAGTGGGAAGGAAGGATGCAAGTCGAAGAATGAAGAAAGAGTTCGTCGCTCACACTCAACATGGATGCATCAAAACGTCTAAAAATGAAGACACCTATTGCATGTCAACAAGAACCATCTCGAACTTTAGAGTTCTGTTGATATAGACATGCCAATTCAATATGTTCCCCTCAGAAACACCTTGACGAGTCACACACACACACCATCAATTATTGGAGGGAAGCCGAGCGTTGAAAGGAGGAACTTAGTATCGCCCTGCAAAAAAAAATAAAAAATGAAAAAAAAAAATGAATTAGTCAGAATAGATTACTAATAAAGTCAATCTGCTTTCACCAGTGATCCAGATGCATACATCTGTTTGAATATGCATACTAACGGCAGCGTGGATGCAGTTAGGCAAGCTTTCTGTTTGCATTCTCTTAATACGTACGTGGGCTGTAGGAGCGAGACCGTGAGCGAGACCTGTAGCGACTGTAGTACGGTGATGGTGAGCGCCTGCGGCTGCAGAAGAGACGAGGAACATTGAAAACATTTACTCGTAAAAACAATGTAACATTGACATTCTACTCACAAATTATGGCTCACCTGTACCTGTAGTCATACTCGTCATATCTGTCGTAGCGCTCGTAGCCACGGTCATAATGAGAGTCTCTCCCCCTCCGGCTGCTGCTTCCACCGCCACCTCCACCGCCGCCGCCGCCACCACCACCGCCGCCGCCGCCACCACCACCACCACCACTGCCACCACCACTGCCATTGCTGTTGAAAAAACCCCCCAAAAAAACCTACGTTAGATACAAAAATGACATGAGTGCGATCTGATCATCCCAGTTTATTTGTTGGCTCAAATGTGCATTTATGCTTCTTCGGGATTTCAACCATGAGATAAATATTGAATTCCGCACAAGAAGTAAAGAAAACCGATATGTGGACAGTGTTGATCTTACTGAGTTGGTCGGCCCATGTAGATTCCTGGTGTGGGGGTGTGAGCGCGTTTAGTAATGGAATAATCCACTCTGATGCGCCTCCCGTCCAGCTCCATGCCATTGGCTCGCTCCATTGCCTAAGAAATACAAAAGGGAGGAGACGACAAAGATGTTATCAGACTTTTGCTTTTTGATACTTATTTCACAAAGGCCCACCTACAGTACACACTGTAAGCCATTCGATATGAGTCACATGACAGCAAGGTGAGAGAATTTATGGCAAGGCAGACACCTAGTGGCTTACTTATGTAATCACACCATAAATCAATAAATGAGATCCGAAGTGGAGGACCATTGAAGCTGCATGTACAAATACTATGAAAACAAAGTCCCAAACAATATGCAGTTGACCATATATGGATGCAGAACAGTTTAAAACGTGCCATGAGACTTTTCATTAAATCTAATTAAGGAATACTTTACACTATAAAACACCAAATGAATGTGATTAAGCACATTACTAGACATAAAACAAGGCATTAGGCATTTTACCAATAAGCAAAACCACAAACACTCACCTCTTTGGAATCATCAATTCTCTCGAAGTAAACAAACGCAAAGCCGCGGGAGCGACCGGTGCGCTGGTCATACACCACATTGACCCCGGCCAGAGGACCATAGCGAGAGAACACCTCCCTCAGGTCCCGCTCTGTGGTGTACAGGCTCAGGCCAAACACCCCCAAACACATGCTGGGGTCAGGGTTCGCCTGCAAGGGTCAACATAACGGTTAAGAGTTGATTTTATGGTTTATTTACACACTATATTTATGCAATAAAATAAACAAATACTATTAAAAAAAAAAAAAAAAAAAAAAAGAGGAAGTAATTTTTGACCCCTACCGTTGACCCACACACAAACATTACAATGGTTTTGTCCAAAATATGTCAGACGGTTCAAATACCCTCACATCAGGATCTCCGCCGCCATGATTGCTTGGTTCTTTTGTGAAGTCATGGCTCTGTTGACATAATGAAAGGAATGTAAGGTTAATTAAACGGGTTATTACATGTGTGGTTTCCTGCAGCATTAACCACAAGTCACATTTCCACACAAATGAAAGAATGAGAAATGTAAACCATATAATCCTTCAATAATCAACTCAAAGCCAGATGGATAATGACTTAAAAACATTTAAGTAATTTTGTTTGCTATAACCACTGTGATTTGTCTAAAACAAAGAACTAACACAATGACATACTAGAAGGTAAAGAACGTTTTGAGGAGATTAGCCCGGTGATCGTTAAAGCATACAGCAGCAGATTTACCTTCCTTATAAAAGAGTATCTTCCCAAAACCTTTTGAGTGAGACTAATTTTGCATTCACTCTATTTAGGAAAAGGTCATACCATACTTAATGTTTACAGGCTAAGCACTAAGATGTGCAATCAGCCAATCTCCACCAAAGATCTGGATACACACACGCACGTAAATGTGTGTTAGCGTACACTAAGTGCTCTCTGGTTCTAGCTCCACAGCCTCCTGTCCAGCCCCACCTTCAGACCTCACTCACCCTGCTGCCAGCGCTCTGGCTCTTCTTGCGGCGGTACTCGGGGCTGTAGGAGCGCGAGCGGGACTTCCTCCGCTGGGAATAGGACCGAGAGCGCGAGCGGCTATAGCGGCGGTTTGACGGCCGCCTGGAACGAGACCTGAAAATGCGGCACAGGAAGAAAAGGCCAATGTCAGAAATAATTGTTGGGGACAAACGGGCAACATTGCCATATTTCAGCCCCTAATGAACATTACAATAGGATGTGATCACAGTACCACATGTGCCATCGTAAAAAGGTCAACAACATACCCGGATCTTGAATGCGAGCGGGATCTGGACGCGGAGCGCTTGGCGACCCGGGCTGGGCTCGGGGAGCCGGACCTGCTCTCCGACTTCACCCGAGCTGGACTCCCCCGATCCGATTTAGACGGGGAGCGCGACCCCTATTGCCACAGCAGCACGTTAACAACTCTCTCATGGACACATACACGCATATCTACACACTGAAAATAACAAGAGTAGTGAGATGTGGTTGAGTATGTTGGACACATACAGTACACCTGTCTAAAATGTATAGATTTATGTACTGTGGAAGAAGGGGTTAGTAATCTTATAAGTAAATCAATAAATCAATTCTGGTTTACAATGAGGCCTACTATTAACCATATATATCAAATATACAGATAAGGTCTATTTCAATATCCACCTGGACCATCAAGGGGGAAATAAAACATGCATTTCCATGTTACAGAAAGGGAGCATAGTAAAGAACACAAACAGTATATTTACTTAACCTACGGACACATTCATTCTTCCAGATTCTTTACACGCTACTCCCTTTTCTCAGGATTTCTATCCTTCTTCGTTCTTCTTTTTTCAGTTTTCTCATTTTCTGATTCCAGGTCTGTTTTTCCTTCTCTTCACCCAAAACTGAAACCAGTTTTCATTTTAGCCATTATACTGCAAGCGCTTCTATCTGACACCATTCTTCCGTCACATTTTCCTCCCTTTCCACTTCTATGTTCTGCTCTGTACATGTTCTCATTAGCCTTCTTTTATCTTGAACATTTTCTTCATCATTCTTGGATAAAACTCTTCAAATCCTTCACGATCAATTACCTTAATGAAAAAAGAACATTCAATAAAATTAAGATCATAGGTTTAAGAAAAGGAGAATATGTTTTAAATGATATGAAAAGGAACACTGAATGCAGTACAATTACATTGTTTCCACATTAAGTTTTTAATAGTCCAGAAATTAAGAAAATGAGCAAAGTTACAACAATTTAAGGTTATAAAGTTAAGAGCTTAGATGTTTATTGTAGCATTTTTTCAATTTGATAAAAAAAAAGCGTGAAAGGATAGAAGGAAGAGATGCTTTGGACTTAAGTTACCTCTCATTTAACCGATTGTTAGATTCAGGCAAAATAAACGTCACAGATATCTCGTGTATAATTTCATAAGCATTATGATTTAGGAGCGATGCATTCTACTGGCAACGCACAACAGGACAATTAGCGAAAGGTCTAACGTGCATACATGGATCTACACCACGGTGGCTCTTAAGCTAACAGTAACTAGCATGCTAGCTAGAGGCTGGTTCGGTATTGCTAGTAGACAAGAACCGTTCGTGTAAAACGTGCGTTACTTTCGCCAAAGACTTGACGCAACACCAGAACAACTCTGCGCCTATCTTAACACGGGTAATGTTAGCGGACAAAAGCGTGTAACGACAACGGTAAGCTATCGCGTTAGCTATCACGTTAGCTCGCGCTTTATCAGTTGGCCTCAAATTAATCGACAGCCACACGGAAGGAATTTGAAGAAAGGAGAAGATATATTTGATATCTTTCGATGCAACAACTCACCCGTCCTTTATAGTGCCCCTCCTCAATGTCACTCATTGTTCAGTATAGCAAACGCAACAAAGTATGTTTTTTTTGGTAGAAAATAAACCCGCACTTGAGGTTCAACACAATGTCCGCTTATTAGCTAGAAGATGGCGGGCGCGTGAGGTTGGTGGTATGTTTATGTGCTGCAGAATCTGACGTCACTTCCGTGTCGTCTCACATTAAACTACATATTATATAATAACTATTAAAATATGGTTAATGAAAATGTATTCACTAAGCATGTACATGTTGATGCTGGTTGAGTTAGTTTAATACACTGGATAATATTTAATACATTATATTGATTGAATTGATAACTATAGTTAGCCTACTTTACTTGACAGCTGTTTAGTAAATGTAGTGGAGTAGGAGTAGAAAATAGCAGTAAGTGCCTTGAATAAATATATAATGTCTCTTAGGGTTTTGCAGTGTGTTCAGTAAAAGCTAATGAACGAAAACACGTCATATATTTACTTATAGACACACACCCCTCCTAGAGGACGCTCTCTTTGGGAACAACCGGCTAAACATTTGGATTGTCTTGTGTGTTACATGATCTCCTGAAAAAAAGGCCCATTTTTCCAATGTCAATCAAATTAAAGGATTTAAATGAGGATTGATTCTATTTTCCATATGGTCAATTTATTAGTAAAGCTATCTCACAGCAGCTGTCTGGCTCACCAACTTTTCTACTTTAGCATTCAGAAGCAAAGTACATTTATGGCATTACTTAATGCAGACACAGTCAAACCAGTTTGATAATTCAGTCGAGGCCTTCGTGTATATTTAGGTCTGTAATGTGTAAGCAACATTTTGAATCATTTTCCCCTCGTGTTTTGCCACCCACATTGACTTCGTCTCATACAATCCCAAAGTAGTACCGATGAAAGTATTGCTCATCTTGCTTGTCGCACAAAGTCATCATGTTAATGAGCGTCACGATGTGCAAACTAAAGATCTTCCTCCTCCAGGCAGGTGCCAGAGTTTCTCAGTATAATGGAAACCATACTCAGAACCAGCAGAAAGGCTAAAAGAATTAATATTCCAGAGCCTGACGTCCACCCTCCTAAAATACCCCTCAAGTCAAAGTTGGAACGGCTCAGTATTTTTAGAAAATCTCTAAAGAGTCACAGTGCAACATGAACCCTGAACATGTTTAAGCAGTATGTCAGTCATCCTAACAGCACTGACGGGCTTAAGACTGACTACAAAGTACATTCAATGTGCTACACACCTAGTTAAATCATTTATCAACACTCGGCAAGGGAACCGTTGGATTTCAACTGACACATAGTACACACACTCACACTCATGTTTACAGTGGCAAATAGGCATCATCCAATCATATTCTGCATAAACCTCAAACTGCTTTGCAGCAACTGTAAATAAACAATTACACTGCCTGCAGATGGAGTGCAAATAACATTCTTTGGATTATCTCTCACAGACAAACTATACTATTTAAGTATTCTTAAGACTATGTGTAAGCTCAAAGTAGAATCTTCTTCATACAGTAATTAGCAACTGCACCAAACTAAACATTGACAAAACAAAAACAGTTGCCCTACCTATCATGAGTGTACTGTTTAGTTCAGCATTCTGATATATTGAAGCAGTGTTGTATAATAGGTTCCGATGTAGATGGGTGAACATTTCAAGCCATTTTTATTATCATAAAGCGTAAGAGTATTTACACCTCTCTGCATTTGCTTAAAAAGTCAGAAAATTCAAATATGGCATTAAATCTAAGCCAAACAAAATCAGCAATGAAAATATAAAAAAAGAAATGTGCTAGACAGTCTTGGTAAAAAATAAATATCAGCATAGAGAAGTCCTCCTTCCTTCTGAGCTGGCTGAACATTTTCTGAGAAGTATCCCAAATTTAAAGTTTCTGGATGTCTACATGTCTCCCTATTGCTTTTAATTTGTCTGATGTGCTAACATCAGTGATAAATGCTGGGAAAGTGTAATGTGCTCAAAACAAAATGTATACATCTATTAAGACTATGCTCGTTTATGTGGCCGAGGCCTGTTGGGGATGTGTGGGTGGAGGCGGGACGTTCCCGGGTGACTGCCAGGTGTGTCCTGCTTTGAGGGTTTCTGCAGGGCAGCAGCAGCAGAGGCAAGGATGCCCCCTGCTGTGTGGGAGGTATTCGTGGAGGAGGCATTGACCGCCAACTCGATTTTCCCCTCCAGTTTGACCAGTCGAGTCAGAATGTCATCCAGCAGCACGGCGATAGTCCTCTTCAGATCAGCTGTGTGTGTGTGTATGTGTGTGTGTGTGTGTGTGTGTGTGAGAGAGAGAGGCGAAGGAAATGAGGGAAAACAAACACAAGGAAGAAAATGAATCAATGAAACCCAAATGTTTCAGGAGTAAGCAAGTGATTGGATGAAAGAGCAGTAATAATAAAAAAAAAAATCCATTTATGGCACAGCATTTCTAACATCCTCCTGAATCCTTACCAGAGCCGGCCATGGAGGTTCCCTGCAGCCCACCCGGTGCATTCTGGTTCTCCTCCGTCAGGACCTTGACGTATCGCCGGCTAAGCTCCAGGATCTGCTCCCGTAGCTCGGCGCTGCTCTGATGGCGAGGCTGCTGCACAGTGTACCGCAGCAGCATGAGTCCCCACGCCAGGCCAAATACCACCAGCAGCACACTAAGCTTCTGGGACATGTTCCTCCGCAAGAGTGCGCCCAGCATGGTACTGAGCTGGCGAAAGGGGAGGGGCGCTGCAGAGGCCCGGTCTTAGGATGAAGGTCTTTTCTTTGGATGTGGATATGCCAATAAATTGATAAGTAGAGTGATAATTACTTGATTCTGGCAGGGAGATTCTCTTTAATGAGGTCCGTATCTACAGAGAGGTTAGAGTCCAGTGCGAAGCATTCCTAAAGCTGCTGGGGATGTGGTGCCTCACTCAAGTGAGCTCCAGCGGGACACATGCTTGCATTATACCCATTAAGCAGTAAAAGTTTCTCTAACCACTTAAGGTATCCTGCCCCTCCTAAGAGGAGGTGAGAAAAAGTCTTCAGGCCAGGAAGTGGAACCAGAAGGAAGCGGACCGGCAGTCAGGGGTTTTGGAAAAGGTGCTTTGGCTGCAAGATGTCTAACGTCAAATCATCGATGCAGACTGGGCGTTCAGGCAGGGGGTCCGCCGGCATCGTTGACTATGTTGGAGAAGCATACAAAGGGAAATAAAGAGAGATATGATTAACCAAAAGAGAGAGAAACACAGAGACATTTGTTTTGTCATCTTTTCGCCATTTCTTGCATGACGCTTAAATGTTAGCAATGTCATGAATTGATAAAAGAAACTCATTCTACTGTTTAACAAAAAAACACTCGAAGGGTACTTTCTCAAGCCCTTCTGTAACTTCTTCAAAGTTCTGTTGAGCATTGTGGGTTTTTTCTTCCAACAGACAAAGAAACTGCATGTGCTGGATGAAGAGCAAAATCCACCTCATCTTCATTGGCGGCTACATCAAATATATATATTATTTAGCTATTATTAAAGATGGATGTCTTTGCTGCTTTGGGTCAGGGTGCACAATAGCCCACTCATCAACAAATGTTTTTCAGCCCTCCGAGCCCAGAAACCCGATTACCAGTTTAGATTGCATGGGACCCACTTTGCAAGCTTCAGATTGACGACAAAGGAACAACCAGTGGCACAGAGGGCATTCATTCACTAATCCCACCACCACAATGGCTATTTGACCGACAAGCAGCCTGTGAGTGCACTGTGCACATGCAGGGGAAATTGGGCCATCATTTCTCAATTTTCGCAACTTTTTCACCCATTGTATTCTCCACGTCTGCGCTCTCTCTCTCTCTCTCTCTCTCTCTTGGGTGTGGTAGTGTAACTTCCTGTTGAAGCCAGAGAGGGGACAGTGACTGAAGGAATCAATTATGAAAAGAAACGTAATAGAATCCGTTCAGCAATGCTTCCATGTTTCTATCTACACACACACACAAACATGCCCTTCCTATGACCTGGTGTATCAGCAGGCAAGAACTAGAAGGGAAAGACCAAGAATGGTGTAAAGACTCAATGAAAGTAACAGTTGAAATTGGTCAGGATGCAAAACGCATTGCGGCTGACAAATATGCAACTTCATCATCAGTCACATTAATTCCTTTTGAACCATGCTGTACATTTAAAAGAAAACATGCAATGCATGATACACAGGGAATTATTGCTTTCTGTGTAGGGTGCTATGTCAACAGATATGGGTGAGCAATGGGGCAAATAAATCTTTAGGATGATTAGCTGTGCCTTCCATGTGCTAGGCAACAGACCACAGCCATCTTTATTTATTAATAGGGTAGACAATTGACAACAACCAGAAGAGTTTTTGGTATTCAGCCAGTCATATCAGGTTATTCACCAGGCATGATCATTGTTCCATGGGAAGGCACACCGACCTCAGACATTGAATGTTCCACTTGTTTAGGGGACTGTGTGGATGTTAGTGTACTTAATGAGACGATTGACAATGACAAGGCACACATTGTCATTCAAAATATCTAATCTCGAGGTTAAATATTGTCACGGCTGTCACGTGTGTTTCAACAGCTGGCAGACAGACTTAATCACCTGGCATGTAGTATAAACTAAAAACTGAAATGTCGATAATGTTAAATATATATGAAGACTTAAACAATGTGCATGATAGGACATGTATATGTACACAATGTCAAGTTACACATGTGAAAAGTAAACTCGACCAACACGTGAAATATGCACTATTTTTGGATACTTAGTTTCACACTTTTCTTTTTTTTTTTACACCTAAAATTCATTTTAGCATCATTATTAGCAGCCGCTCAAGCTCAGTTGAAGCTATTCTCCCAACTCCACCAACATTGAGGTTAGCACCACGTACACGTTAAGTCGCAAAGCTCAAACTTGACTGAAATTGAAGCAAATCCCATCAAAAACAGATACTTTACCCCCCGTAGTGTTGTCTGTTGAGCAGCTACCTTGAGGTCGCAGCAGGACTTCACGCGCTCCAGAGGAGAAGCATCAGCTGCTGACACTGAATGCCGTTTGTTGTTTAGCAAACCTGCACACGCGGGGGGGGGGGGGGGGTGTTTTGGGGGGGCCGTTATACCGTTATCTACCGAGCATCATGTTGAGGTGTCCGTTCTCTCTCGCTGTCATTTCAGCTTCTCCCTACACGGTGTCGAAGACGATGATTCTGGTCAGTAGCTAGAATTCCAAGCGTGCAACTGTTCAGACTGTCATGGTGCCCCTGAACGTCTACTGAATGCGTCATGACTATTGCATTCTGGGAAATGTAGTTACACTGCCCGCTCACTCTCTCTCTCTCTCTCTCTCTCTCTCTCGATTCAACACCAAGACGAAAGTAAACATTACAAATTGTACTCACGTTATTAGTTGGCTTCAGTGCAGGTAAACATTTAAACGGCAGTTAATCCGGTTTACTTTAAACAAAGCGCTAACTGTTTCACGTTACTTTAGCTTGTAGAGTTTGTGGACACGTGTTCAGGGTGTTAGCTACATGGCTGCTAATGTTAATGTTAGCTGCTGCTAAACAGATACAGGATACAGGAGAACATTCCTGCCCACTGCAATAACACTGTACAATAAATCACCTCTGGCCAAATCACTCACAAAGCTATAACACTGTTACTCTTGTTTGTTTGTTGTTTGGTTAAATCTTTGCACTACTGTTTAGTTAATTTTATATTGTGCATTTGATATTTAATATTTTTACTCTGCTATTTTATTGATCTATAAAGTCTCTCTAGCTCTCTCTCTCTAATGTTAATGTTAGCTTGATCTGAGTTTAACTTCCCTTCTGTCCTCTCCCTCTCTCTCCCTGTGACTGTATTTGCATGCTTGCAGTTCACTTTACGACCGTTAGAGGGACGCCTACAAACATTTCCATGGCAACTATAAGGCTCACCGTGGTAAACAGAAGTGTCCTGCTGTGCAAGACAAAACCGAACAAACTCCACATCTATCTGTTACGGATTTTTGACAATGGAGAAAATATGTCTCGATAAATCAGCTCTACGAGCGGTCGATGACTACTGGGAGTACAAAAGGTTTGTCCCAACATTAGACTGTATGTTTTTAGTATATGCCCATAAGAATTACTTTTTGTATTGGTGGTTTTGTCTTTTCAAGGATTGTGGGTGATGATGATGGAGGACAACTGTTCACTCCAGAGGAATATGACGAGTACAAGAGGAAGTTGCTCCCTCAGCGAGTGAAAAACAGGCTGTATGTCAGCTTTGGCGTTCCAGGAGGCATCGAATGCAAACTCATTGGTCCTGAGACACGGTGCTTGTGTACACATAGGTAGTGCGATCCTCGATAACACATGAAATCAAGTGTCATACCCTTCTCTCCACCACACACATAGACTTACATGCATACACATATTTGTGATTAATGTAACTTTGTTCAGGTACAAGCAACACAAGACCGACTTTGAGGTGGTCCCCTCCGAGCGGCCCCTAGCCCTACCATGCCAGGTCAGAGGGTGTCATTGTTCTGCCTACCAGTATGTTCCCCAGATTGGGCCAAATCCTGTCCGCTGCAGGTGCAAACACTTTCCTCAGGATCACGGTGAAGCTACTGGCCACTTGTGCAAAAAGTGTGAGTATGAAATTACTACATTTAAAGAGAGCAGTTTCATTCGAACCCAAATTAACTCTAGCATCTTACGCATATGGAGTCACATGTACAGTTCATGTTCAAGATGAGAATAACATTTTTCAGGCAGTTCCTGTTCTGGGTTCAAGAGCCCCTACACTTGTGGGTGTGGTCAGCCCAGCTCTGCCCATCAGACGCTGGTGAGTAGAGTAAAACAATAAACACAGATCCTTGGCTAATGCTGGACATAGATTTCCCATATTACTACTGTTTGTTCAGCTCAATTTGAAAATCACTTTTTGTTTTTTGTCAGGTTCAGACTAAACTAGAGAGGGAGGCACGTGGTCAGCCTGTAGGCAGGGACGTTCCTTATGCTGCCATGGGGGGGCTGACGGGGTTCAGCTCCTTATTGGATGGTTATCTCGCTTTGGAAGCCAGCGGCTCAGGTGAGAACCAGAAAAGTAGCCTATACAGTATGTGACGATGTAATTTGGAACGGAGAGACGCAGCAGAGTTGTCAGTTTTAAACTTGTGTATGTGAATGCATGTGTGCTATGTGAGAGCTGCTCGTCTCTTGAGGCTCGGTAGGGTGAGTCTGGAACATCCAGCACTTGTAGTCACGAGGGGCAACATCAGCCCCCAGCAAGGACAAATACAAGCCATTTTCTAGCTCAGACAATCTTTGATTCATGGACTGTTTTGGTGAGTCGGCCTTCGTTAGACTGTTGGAGAAGGTGTGTGCGTGTGTGCATGCATTGCACCAAAGGAGAAGAAAGTTCCTTTAAGCAGCATGTGAGGGCAGCAAAGAGCAGCACAGCATCAGTGTTGAACAAGCAAGTCTGCAGAGTAGGGACTTGATCCGATCAGAAGGGTCCAGTGTACCCCTTAGATTTTATTACCACATTGAGGTCTGACCCAGACTACATCTGTAGTAGATCTGTGATGATGCAAAAGTCCATGCATTTTGCATTGCTGCAAGGTTATTTAAGATGTACCTCTTTCAATTCAATAAATGGGACGATCAGAGGAGAACATGTAATCAATGGATGTCCAAGTTAAATTTGCAAATGTAATAAGAGTGGACTTAATAGTAATTTTCATCTCTTCTGAAAACAATGGAAATGTAATTAATGATTGAATGTACAACATTAATTACACTTGTTTTAACCATTTATGTGTGTTTAATTATGTATGATTCAATAGGCTTTTGACTGATAACTCCACAATGTAGCATTTACTTATCACACTCAGTGGTTCTGAGTTAAGAGTTTGGAATCTCGTGTTCAAAAGTCTCACATTGTAAGTAGCCACTATCACTTCTATTTTAATGTTATCACTCAATATATGGTGTTGTCCTTAATTGGGAATAAGCGATCTTTATTTATGATAAATGCATTTTATATTCATCAGTGACTGCAGATAAATGCATTCTATAAATTACAAGCCTTTACTTTTAACATCTGTGCGTCAGGTCCTGGATTAGTTAATGCTCAAAACATAGATTTAAAATAAGTTTCATACCTGTGAGGTACACAGTATTCGCCGCTGCAACCCGTCACATGATTTTCATAATCTCTGCCTGCCGTATGTTTTTCAGATCAAGACAGAGAAAATGGCTGCCAGCAGAGATGCTCTGCATCAAGGATCACAGTAACGTCTACTAAAGCATCGAGCTCTGCTCACCGTAAGAGAGAGACCAACAAACAGTGACAAGCAACATCTGTCAAACCGTCCATACTGGGCAATATTTACCATGCAAATAAATCATACACTTCTTCTGATCTGTAACATTTAATCTTAGCTTAAAAACATTGGGATTGTTTCACAGCTTTTAAGTATTTTCTTTTTCAGTGACGTGTCTGTCTTTGTTAGTGTCGTGACAAAGGGGTACAACCAACTGTCAGCAACAGTAGTTATTAAATCCCACCTAACGACTAAACAATCAACTGGAAGTATATTGATCCAATCAGAGCATGGGGAGCATTACAATGGTGATCCAGATTACCAAGTTTTACTCAGAAATCTGGACTTTTAAGACACATCACACTTTGACAATGCCTGAATACATTTGAAGACTTTCTCAGGATGAAATCACATTTGGAGGTAAAGCATATTTAGGAGATTTTCAGTATTTTGGCTGCCGTGTGAGGTGCAGAAATACCATGCATAAACTCATATATATGTCTGTACGATTAAAAAAAACAATACAATATGAGATTGAGAATATGAAATCCTAATTTTACAATGAGTTATTTCAAACGTATGTATTGAATTACAAGGTCATAACCAGTTCAACATAGAAACACGTAGTCATCTCTATATATAATTCCTCACAGTCATATTTGATACCCTAACTAACCCATACTTTTATTTAGTGCAGTTTTCTAATTAATGCCTCATATTTCTCTCTTGATACACGTTCCGTAAACCGGCCAGTTTACACATCTGAGGTTTGTTTGATTGGTGTTCTCTTATCGAGAGAAAGCCTCCCACTAACCATGCCACCAAAATAACCCCAGAACCATGGAGGTACGTGTTCTGTGATGAGCGCCGTTTTTAATTAGCAGATAGATGTACTGTCTCCGATTGATTAATCCCATTTCTCATGGTAGATCAGCAGTGATGAGAGCCAATTTAATCCACGCAGTGAATGGAAATTGAAGCAGGTCATGTTGTCTCCATTGGTGGCCCACATTCTAACGTCTTTAACTGAGAAATAAAATGAACAGGGATCTCAATGAGGACTCACACTGAAATGTTTCCTCTGCGAGGAAGGATGGCAAGACAAACTGGATCAGCATCTACGCTGGTGATGGCCAGTGCATCTCAAGTCACCTGTGTCGTAATGTAAATATTACCCGAGGGAACTTGGTGTATGTTTGTGCGCGTGTGTTAGTGAGCTGAACAGGTGGTTTCGAGGGAATGGAAGGGCTACGTCTGAAGGATGGCATGGATGCACCTGGGTCTCTGCATGCAGCCGGGTGCTGAAGAGGAAGCAAGTGGAAGGGATCCCATCTGAAAGCTGACACTTCAGATTCAGTGTGTCTCTACGATGACCATGGTATCAGGTTGCTGCAACATAAAGTATGTACACAAACATTCAGAGCGGCATACATACTTTAAACCAAACATATTTCCTCTTTGCTACCCAGAAGAGCTTTGTTGACATAAAGAATCAATCATATTTTAAAGAAACACTTGACCTATTTCTGCTGCTTTCTCATGGACATTTTTACTCCCAGAGAAAAACCCATTAATTTAAAAGGTGAAGGCCTGACAGTTAGTCAGGCGCAATTACAATTTAGAGTAATTACCTCTCCATAGCAACCCTGTTTAGGAGGCTACAAGTAAATTACTTTGGCAATGAATTGGAGCGAATGACTACTACACTTCCCATATCCCCATGGAAACCACGCCCCGCTTGACTGACACATTCAACACTACGAATCAAGAAGAGAGCACAAAAGATTAAATTGGCAATTACTGTGCAAGGAAACACTTAAATACCCCAGTGACAGTTGCAGTAGGCACACCTTGAGATGAAGAACACGCTCCCCTAATTTACCCACAGAGAGAGACGGAGGTAACAAAAACTCAGCGGCACAAAGAGACACCATGGACTATCGACTACCGACAAATCACTTGAAGCTCTTAGATCACTCGGAGGAAAAGTACAACTTGAAAAAGATTTTCCATAATACTTAAAAAGATGGACAATAATATATTTTTGTTACTTCATTGAGATACTGCACAGCCCACCTGGATGTGAAAGACAAAACAAATAGTGTGCGAGTCCACAAAATCTGTTGGGCTTCAAACCCTTTGATTTTATTCTGTCGCAGTAATAATTATTACCGAACTCGACAGTTCTATGGAGCATTTCCAACTTGCAACTTTAGTGTTCTGATTCACTCTTACCTCGGTTTTCTAACGCAGCAAGAAGCACTTTTTTAAGGAAAAAGCTTTGTTTAACACACTGTGCACTACCTGCCCTGCATCAAACTGCAGGTAGTAGAGCAGGGATACTCAACCTCCTTTGCTAAGGTGCTGCTTTTGCAAAATATACAAGAGCAAAGACAGCAGTTAATAGTTAATTGGTCGGACCTCTGTCGGGGGTCCTCCCCTGGCACTTTTTTTGATAAACACGCTCTATTAGTCTATTTGGATAGACTTTGTTTATGCATGTTGGCACCTTATTTATGTTCAGGAAAATAAAAATTCCCTTGTGAATCAAATAATTTTCATTGTGATTTGGAAAATATCATAAGTTGAGTATACTGCAGTAGAGGTTAGCGGCTAGCTAGTGAACGTAGTGGAGCATTTTGCAGTTAAAGAGCCAGATCGTTCCCTCAGGAGCTGGTGGAGACCTAAAACAGAGCTAAAAGAGAGTGAGCGGATAAACCGTCAGGTAGACACAAACACTATGTTACTCTGACTACTGGATTTAAAAGGTCATGTTGCGTTAACAACTAGTTACCCCCAAGTGGCAAAAAATTATCTGTTATTGCAAATAAGTAAATATCTGAATGACCTAAAGGTCACATAATGCTTCAGGGTGTATTTATATAGTCTAATATACAATACAATATTAACAGAATAATTAACACAAGCAGGATTTATCCGACAGTAACACAATACTATTTCCAAATGCAAAAATGCATTTGTTTTTAATGTTAATAATTATTGTGCACATATCATAACATTGCTGTAAATGGACATCCACTGAATTACTTAATCTCTCCCATCACAGCTTTCTTTGGTTGCCAAACTTCGAATCAGGTTTTCATTCAATATGGACCACTATGCTACTTTCAGTCATCAACTAAAATTCTCAAATCAGACTCAAATACCAATATTCTCTTTCCTCCAAGTACACTCTTCTGATTATCAGAAGAAACAGCCAGTTTCCTATTTAGGACAGATCTTACGCAAACAAAATACAGCTTGTTCCATTTCTAAGAAGAACAAAAAACCCATCACAAACTCCTAAAAGCGAAGCACAATCCTCCGTATGACTTTGACACATTGGACACATTGTATGTGTGTGTGTTGCCTCTCTTTTGTGGTAGAAACAGTGGGAAATTGACAAAGCAGCGACTTCAAAGAGGCTCTGCTTCGATCCCCTCCGGTGTCGACAGACTCCGAGAGGGGGATGGAGAGCGGGTCATGAGAAATAGATTTTGCTTTTTCACAAAGCACAGTGATACCAAACAGAATGGGATGTTGTATCGCTAGGTTAAATCAATACTAATGTTTGCCTAATAGAAGTGTGTTTAAACACATGCAGCCGCATGCACTCGCTCACACATATACACACACTAATGGAGTTCATGTGACCAGAAACACACACACATGGCATACTGTAGGTTTGGAATTAGTGCTAATAATTCTTGTTTGTATAGAACAGTGATATCAGTGCCACGTAGTTATAAGGTGCTTGTAAATGGTTCATAAATTGTCCTATTTTAAAAAGGACCAAGTCAATAAGAAAGAGTCGTATGGTTTCCATTTTACAATAAGCGTCACATCTGCTGTTATAAATCAAGTTATTACGTTTTTCAGAAGCTTCTGTAAACTAAATTTAAGAGCAGCCCAAAAAAACAGCCAACCGTGACCACATCAATTTGATGGATCCTTAACTCACCCTAAAGACGGGACCTGGTCTGGAGTTCACCAATTGGATATTAGTTTAGAATCCTGCTAAACTAATATCAAGTAAAAATTACATCAAAATACTTGAACGACTTATCAATGAAATCTAAATGCAAAGTTTCACATCACAGTCATTACATGTCCGTTAAATGTAAAGCTACGGGCAGCAGCCACATAGCTTAAAATGTATTTCACGCCCCTTCACGCTCTGCCTGAACACAGTAAAAAGCTCCTTATTAAGTAAACAAAGATGCAACATGTTAATTAGCTTTGGAGGTGCTGGTAGGCAGACTCTGTTACCTTTGGACAGAGCCAGGCTAGCTGCTTTATGCTACGCTAAGCTAAGCTAACAGGCTGCTGGATGTGCCTCTACATTACGTCACACGAGAGTGGTATTGATCTCTTCGTTTAATTCTCAGTAAGAAAGCAACCAATAATATTATTGTTATTCCTTTAAAGCACTTTAAACTTTGTGCTCTTACGTCAGGCTAAAAAAGTATTAATATCCGTCTTGTCTCAAGAATTTAAAGGGTCTTAAACTATACAATTGCTGATCAGTAAAGCATTAATACATCACTTACAACTTGAACTTCAGAGCTATCCCTAATTATAATACTGCACTTGTAATTAAAATAGCTGCAGCTTCAGCGTGAGGGTGTAGTGTTCTCCTTGTGAGTATGTCCTTGAGTGTTTCTGCGCACAGAAATCAAACATTATGCACCTGCATAGTACATTTAAATCTGTAATTGCATTTAATTATCAGAACAAGTATTTGGAAAAACTCAATGGGTGATTGACAGCAATGTGGAAAAAATGTGTTCTTTGCGACACACTGTTGAGAATTGAAGCTTTCAATCGCTTTCTACTGCAGTTAATTAGCTGGACTGCTTAAATCATACTTTCCCTCCATTATCAGGTCCCTCAGTGGTGAAGCTTGCATCTCGCATGGTGTCTAACATGCTGGTACTCTTCAGACCTTTGCTAAATAGCTGAAAAAGGGCTGTCAAAATCATATTCAGCAGGCATATTAAAATGTTGAACCACTTTGGCCATCGTGACGTCCTTCTTCACTTGTGTTGTGTTTAAATACACACATTTCTCCATAAACATTTAAAGAGGTCCGTAAGGA